GTGAGCCTGTGCACAACAGAACAAGGTACTTTCCCATCCCGCATCAGCCTCACAATAGTTGTTTGGACCTATTGCTGCCACTGTGCTAATCCATTTCATTGGAGGACTTCCTTTTTATGCTAATCCTCTTTCACATTTTCTCTGTAAAAATTATACTACAAAACTGTTATCTATAAAGAGAAAAATCAAAGAAGCTGCATCCAAAGTATGTAGGAAAAAATATGAAAGAGGGTCAGACAATTCATTCTCTTTCTAGATATTTTTCTTTGTAATTTTTAAATTCTTTTTTTTTTTTAATGAAATCTTACAACAACAATATATATGTATGAAGAGGCTTCAAGGTCATGAAATATGGAATGGAAAGATAATGAAATTTTCCCATGAACTTTTTGAAGCCCCTTATACATACATACACATATGTAAGCACACATGGGTTGAAATCACAGACCTTTCCATTGGCAGCTGAGTGTTTAACCACTGCATCACATCACCAGAGTTCCCTAATTTACAGAATAAAAAGCCTTAGTCATCGAGTCAAGTCTTCAGACTGCAAATCTTTACTATATCCTAAATCTGCAGAATAAACATTTTCAAGGACACAGGTATGGTCACCAATATAGATCAAAGTGATTGAAATCACACAGTCTTTGTTTTCTGATCACAGTGCGATGGGAATAGGCATCTGGGCTGCTTGTAGGCGAGTGAGGGGGAAGGCAGATTGCAGGTAGAAGCAGGTGCAGTGAAGAGCTGCATGCCAGGAGAGGAGAGAGAGTGGCTGACAGTAGTAATCTCCATCCTAGCCCTGAGCTCAAAGTCCCTAGCTTCCCACCTGGCCCTAGATCTGCTGGGGGAAGGGTTGCTGCCATCAGACTGGCTTGGCTAAGGTCATTTAGGAAGCAATGCTCAGAACAAGGCCCCAGGACTTCCTGCTTGGCCCCTTTATCTTTGGAGAGACACAGTATATTCTCTGTGCTCTTGAAGAGGACTAGAACCTGGACACTGGTCACTGCAAGGTGAGCTGCTGGGACTGAGGGCTGGGATTAAGTGGGATCCTCTGCACCAAGATGGGGTGGTTGACCAGGGGCTGTCCAAGGCTGGGGCCTCAAGGGAAGTGTCCCTGACCATTTTCTGGCTGAAGCTGACTGGATGGGAGCACTGATCTCTAAGTGTTGCCTCGCACAGAGGCCTCCTTTGTCCAGGGCTCACCTACAGAGTGAAAAGGGAGGCTGGGAGCTCAGGTCAGGTCAGACCACACCATGGGGGCCACAGGCCACCTCGGGGGCCTGAGTTCAGGGACAGGACCCCAGTGGTTTGAGATGCTGCAGGGACCAAGCTCTGGTGTAGGGGCAAGTTTCCAGGTACCAGATAGACTGCCTGTCACAGCCACCTCGGAGCCACAGGTCCAGTCTCCTTGATCTGTTCCCTTCTAGTCTCGATCAAGGTGAAAGGAGGAGAACTCAGGCCCCCAACAAGGAACCCCAAAGGGGTAGGCAGTACTATCAGGCCAGGAACCCTGACATTGAGAGGTCAATGTCCCTTGGGCTCTTTCTCACATCTTCAGGGCTTTGCTCCTTTCCTTTCCTATGAAGAAAATTGGCCCGGCTTAATGAAAATCTGAAGGAAAGGTGGCTGTTTTTCCTGGTCGGGAAGGATCCAAGGGGCCACATTCCCTAGTGGTGGGATGAGGAGTGAGGTGAGGTTTGGGGAGCTCCTGTGTTGGCAACATGAGAAAGGAAGGAAGTCTGGTGCCGTGGTTAAATGCCTGGGCACTGGAGCCAGACCCCCTGGATGTGAGTCCTGGTTCTGGACTACTTACTAACTCTTCAATCGTGGCAACCTCTCTAATCTGCAAAATGGGAATGACACTAACATCATCTACTTTGACATCCTGGCTATGGTTAAATTGTGTTTTTGCACCATTTTTGGCAATATGAGGGGGCTTCAAAAGGTTCATGGAAACTTTCACCATTTTTCCACAAACATTTTGAACCCCTCTTCCAATTCCAATATGCTACGGTCATTGTGGATGGAGCAGCAGATGTGCGCCCAGATCACGTTTCTCCTCATCCAGACCCGGACTCAAAGGCCAGATTCCCCCACCCCCACTGGGAAACTTTCAGAAGGGAGAATTGGGGTGGGGCCTGCTCTCCCGGGGCCTTTCCAACTGAGTGATTCCCTGAGAGTTCTGGGGCAGGAGTCACAGGGAGGGGACCAACCTCTGAGGGCTCATTGTTCTTCTCCTCTGAACTGAGTGCACTAGTTTGAGGGAAAGATGAGTTCCCCCCTTCCTTCCTCCTTGACGTCCAACTATGTACTCTCAGGAGGCAGATAACCAAGCCCTGCCCTTCTCTCATTGTCTAGTTCACAAAAAGCTCTCAGTGCCTCACAATGGCCCAGTGATGCCCAAACTTCATGTGTAATGTCTCCAGTTCACAGATGAGGAAGCTGAGGCCGAGAGAGAGAAAGGGATTTATTTAATGTTCCACATAGAGAAGTGGTACAGCCAGGACAAGGTTTCTCAGTCCTGTGCCTAGAACTGGAGTTCAGTCTAATGGGCACAATAAATGCACACCACACCCTGACAAACAGATATACAGTCCCATCAGCAGCATAACCTGAAGGGAGAAAGGAGAGAGAGGGACTGGCCTTAACCCTCTCCTTCTCATAGGCCAGGCAGTAATGGCAGATTCTTTTCTTTCTAGATGAGCTTCACATCTCAGGTAACCGGAGCAGAAGCCTTCAGCTCATTTTGACTTCTCCCAGGAGGGATGCTTACTGACTCAGTAGGAGTCAGGATAGTCCACTATTCCATGGCTGTAACCTCTGCTTGGCCCAGTGGGTATGGGGAGGCAGCAACTAAGGTACTCTCCCACCCGGTGGACTGCAGGAAAGAAAAGGTGGTTCCAATAACTGATCTTCTTTTCTGTTTCCTGAGGTCAAGAGGGACAGAAGAGGGAGGCAGAGACCTGAGGTGTTCACGGGTTGTCGGGACACTGGACTTTTAATGTTTAGAAGACCCCAGGCAAACAGGGGTAAATTAGTCATCCTACCTGAGTCTTCCATAGCTCCCAATCTGGGAAAATGAGATCCAGAAACCAGTAGAAAAGTTTATGGACTGGGCCAGAGGAAACCAAGAGGAAACACCTTGAACAATATTAGTGGCTGGCAGCCTGCCTGGAGGAAGGGAATTCTATTCCTTCCATGAACACAAACAATGGGGGACCTCCCTCCCAGCGTTCAGGACCTGTCGGCCTCCTCGCCCCTCAGCCTAAGCCTATTACCACCCCTGTATTCAGGACCGGTCACACTCAGCCTCCTTTCCAGGGGCCTTCTGTGTGCATGGGGAGGGCACACAGGAGCTTCCTCCCAGTATAATCCGAAGTCATCTTTAAACTGCCTCCCAGTGGGTATAAGGGAATTATGTCATGACACAGACTATTGAGCCATGAGGTCAGCGGGTTACAAGGACACAGTTTGAGCTTGGCATAAGGGTTCTTATGAGTACTTTCAAGTACATGCTTGACCCACCTAGGCCACCTCCCTGTGGGAGTCTGTCTCTATTTTCAACATAAGGAAACTATGACAGAGAAGTTAAATAATTTCTTTGGTCTCTTCACTGGCCAGCAGGACAGACACAATGGAAAAGGAAGGCTATTAGCTCTTTGATTCTATGCAGGAAAAGTGAAGGGAAGTTGCTAAGGTTTTAGAATCCTTAGTGCTCTCATCATCTGAGCATCTTCACAATACCCAGGATCTAGCCTGCTACTCTAGGCCGGTCTCCCATCTCCCTCCCAATCTGGGCGTGGCAAACATCTATCTCCTCCCAAGTTCGATCAGAGCAAGATCTGTGAAGCAATGGTCTCTGGGGTGTCCCTGAACTCAAGAGGTCACTCTCAGACCCTCTTCCTGCTCTCCTGGCAGCATTTTAAAAAGCCTGCAGTGACTGTGGGTGCTACCCCTGCCTAAGGGTGACTGCTTTCTGAGAAGACTCAGTCCTCATCACCAATTCTTCTGAGTACAGTTGTGAAGGATGTGCACTGCACAAAGGCAACTGACTAGGGGATGAGTGGAGTCCTGGTGTGGTGCTGTGGGTTAATGTGCTAGACTGCAAAGTCGGTTTGAACTGCAAGGTTGGTGGTTCAAGCTCACCAGTTGCTCCTTGGAAACCCTCTAGAGGGTCACTATGGGTCGGCACTGACTCGGTGGCACTTAACAACAACAACAAGGGGATGAGTGGGGCTGAAATCCTGCCCATACTTTCAATGTCTTGGCAGGAGATTACACATACCTAGAGAACAGAACATCTTTTACAAATCACACAAAGGTAGAGTGGGCCTTAGTCAGTCCTGTTTCTCTTTTGTATATGGATTCTTTTCCACTCAAGTTCAAATCAACTGTCCTTCCAGCTAATAAAGATGCCCTGCCGTTGGTGGGCTATTTCCTGCTCACCCCCTTTTCCAAATGTCTAAGACCAAAACTCAGGCTTCCCAGGTCCCCAAAAGCCATCTGTTCCCAATCAAAACAGGAGAAACCTACACTAAACTGATTTCTTATCTCCTTATAGAAGAAAAATAAGTAAATAGCTGTTTACTAGGCAGGACACAGGACAGAGTATGTTCCAGGAGCACATAACCCCTGTGAACCTCTTGTAACACATCCTGCAAGGTTATATTAAGGATCAAATGGATCAATGGATGTTTGCTGCTGAGGTGACTGGAGGAGTCCTTCTCTGCCTAGACTTGGGAGGGGCTGTCTTCCTTCTTCACATATCTCACTCACCGTTCACTGTTTCTTCAGGTCTGCTCCACCCAGGTACAGAGATTCAGTCTGAATTTGCCTCCAGGAAGTGGCAAGATGGGAAGTGATTGGGGAAAGGGTGCCCTGGAGTAGGGGCAAGGGGAGAGAATGGAGTGGCTGTAATCTTAAATGAGGGGACAAGATTGGACAGGGGTGGACCATTTGTGGATGGCCAGCAGAAAGAGTGCTATTTCTCTCCCCAGAGCCTGAATGGGGCAGTCAGCACCATTAAGTTCTTCCTCTCAGAGGCCTTCCTGGGCCAGCACTTTGAGGCTGTGGAGTTGGAGGGCTGCGAGCCAGAGCCAGGAGACCTCTTCCTGTTCCGGTTGATGTCTCCTACAGGACGTTGGTGTGGGGCACACGTGGGTGTGTACTGTGGCCAGGGAGAGATCATCCACTTTGAGGGTGAGCACCTCCAGCTGAATCCCAAGGTCAAAACAGCAAAGAGGCGTTTCCCAGTCAAGTCACACCTCACCAGTAGGCAGACCACGTGAGGATGGACACTTGGGTGCTGGGCTGTGCTTGTCAGAAGATGGGAGTTTGAGCACAGAGTGCATGAGGCTCAAGGCCTCTAGGCCCTAAGAAGCAGGGGTGCGGGATCACAGGGGTGAGGTTTGGCATAAGGTCTAACGTCTGGGGTACTGAGACATAAGTCTGGTTCTGATCCACATTCATTTGACTGTCCCGCAGGCAAGAACCCCGGGGGTCGTGGACTCAACACGTTTCTAGGCTCCTGGGAGGGCGTTGTGTATAAACAGGGCCAGCGCCCGATGCTGCGCTCTCGCTCACTCTGGCGTGTGCTGCGTAGACGCGGCGGTGTGGATCGCGCTGCACTGGAGAGACGCGTGCGCGAGGCCATGGACGCGGACCCACCTCTCTACCATCCTACGCGCAGTAACTGCGTGCACTTCGCGCTGAGTCTGCTCGGCCCGAGTCCAGGCTTGCAATCCCTCCAAATACACAGGCGCTCCAGTGGCTCGGTAGGCGCAGCCCGCCCAACCCCCACCAGAGTCGGCGAACTGACGCACTTTTGCAACATTCAGCTCCTCCCCTCCCCCACGCAGGCCATGTTCCTTCAAACTCAAGATCTGCTCTACCCTGGCAGGTCCAAAGCCCCCGAATGAAACTAGGCACGCTAGGAGCTAAACTAGGCATCCTCATCGAGGGCCAACCCTTCTGAAACTCTTTTGAGAGAGCCCACTTTTAAGGGATGGCGTCAGGTGCCAGCTCATATCTACTTACACTGAGATTCAGTCCTGGTCTTGCCCTATTCGCAGTCTCCCAATAGCGGCTAGCTACAGAGGCCCAGCTTCATCTATTTGAACTCGCCCACTTCCACCCTGACCCACCAAGTCTGCATCTCCATCGGTATCCTAGTCCACAACCCTTATGGACTCTTCCGCTCCCCAAGCTCTACTAGAGACCTTAGTCACCCACTGGATGCATCCCTTTCCAGACCCAAACTCGGGCCCAACGAGATTTTAACCCTTCTCTCTACCTGGCTCATTTCTTTCCCTCTGACCCAGGCAGTCCTTCCCTGGGGTCCCTTCAGACTTGGGAACTGAACAGGAAGTCCCACAGAGCCGGGGAATTCTGGCAGTTGCACCAAATTCTAAGACAGCCCCCTCTCTTCCTTTTCTTTCTAGATGTCGGTGGACTTGACCTTGGACTAGGCATGAACTTCGGGTCCTCCTGAGGGAGCGTGAGGGGTTCAAAAGGATCCATTAAACTGTTCTCCAAAGCTGACTTCAGGATTCACAGTTCTCTCTGCTTTCTCGCTGTCTCTAGGTCCTCAGCCCGCTATGGGCCCTTCACACCTTCTACGCCAGCCCCCGCTCCTCAAATTCCAGTACCTCCAGGAAGCCTTCAGCTTCCCACTGAGAAACCAGGGTCCAGATTCTGAAGGAAAAGTGGGGTTAGAGAGAGGATGAGCTCTGTGTTCGGTGCCTCCTTTCCGCCCTCGCATCCTCGTCTGCGGGTGTAATCATCCCTTTAGCTTTCTCCCTTCCTCCAGATGTGTGGGTGAACATACGCACACGTCTGGTATAAGCGGAACCCCTACAGTTCATTCTGCAAGTCTAGGTTATCAAGGGATGGGGGTAGGTGGTCTGCACTCTTCGAATGGCTTCCCATCGCCAGTCTACCCCCAGACCTGGAGGCTGCTGGGCTGAACCGTCCTTAGGGGAGGAGGGGATTTCTGAGGATTGGGGTGGGGCTAGTCCTTGCTGCACCGCCCCTTCACTTCTTCGTGGACACGCCCTCCGCCCCGCCGGCGCCGGTGCCTTTAAGAACCTCAACAAGCCGGCCTGATTGATAAATCCGCGCACAGCCTCCGCCTCCGTAGATTGCGGATTCTGCAGAGCCCGGGCCGCGCTGCCGACCTCGTCGGTCCCGCCTGCGCTCCATTTCTCGGCCTCAGCCGAACCCCGACCGCGCAGCCTTCTACGCAGAGAAGCTCTCTTCTGGTCTCTCCATGTCGGCCGCTCCTGCCTACAGCGAAGACAAGGGCGGTTCTGCCGGTCCCGGGGAGCCCGAGTATGGTCACGATCCGGCGAGCGGTGGCATCTTCTCCTCCGACTACAAGCGGTGAGGGAGCTCGCCGAGAGGTTCGGAGTAAGGCCGGGCCTCCACACAGGCGCCTGGGCCGGGCTTCGGCAGGTCCGCACTGGCACCATGGACAGCGCCTGGACCCAGCCCGCCGCGGCCCAGCCCTGGCCCCGCCCCGGCTGCGCGGCCCGGAAGCCCGCCCAGACCACCACCCTCGGCAGGCCCCGGCGCGACTCCTCTAACCCCTCCCCCCCACCTCCTCCACATTAGCACCCTACCTTGGAGGGGCAGACCAGGTACCCGGGAGGGGTAGGGAGGTTGGAGTCCAGTCGGGGAGAGGCCAAAGATCAGCCACCCGCCGGACCCAGGTGTTTCCCCGGTTTGAGGGGTTTGATCAGAGGTTGCCCGCCTCTTCTGGGCGAGGCCTGGTAAGCTCCAAAACAACGTGGAGGAGGGGTCTCTGTGGGCGAGCTTGAGCCTGGGTTGTCTGGGAAGGTGAGCCTTTAGCTTGGACCCAGAACCTCCCAGGTCTGGTCTCCCCTGCAAATTCGTTTCCCTCCTGGTCCTTCTGCTCGCATCCCAGCCTCCCATCTGGAACTCCCACTTCCCTTCCCTACCTTGCTCCTACATACAGTTCCTTGTTTCAGCTTTCCACTCTTACCCCAACCTTAGGTTCTCATTCGTTCTTCATTCCTAAATTCTGAAACAAGCATTTATTAAGAGTCTACTGCTCCAAGTCCAGAATCCCTGGTAGTGCCGTGGGCTAAGCGGTTAGTTAGCACCGCAAGGTTCACGGTTCCAACCCATCAGCTTCTGGATTGTCTGAGCCTGAAAAAATTCACAGCCTTGGAAACTCTATGGAGCAACTCTACTGTACTCTATGTTGTTGTTGTTGTTAAGTACCATGGAGTAGGTTCTGACTCATAGTGACCCTGTACAGGGTTTCCGAGGCTGTACATCTTTACGGGAGCAGAAAGCCTCCTCTTTCTCCCGTGGAATGGCTAGTTTCGAAATGCCGACCTTGAGGTTAGCAGCCCTTTCGTAACCACTATGCTACCAGAGCTGTTGTGCCAAGTTGGAATAGAGTAGATGGCAATAGGTTGTTTTTGTTTTTGTTTTGTTTTGGTGCCAAGTCTAGTGTTCCCTAAGTTGTGAAAACTGGTTTGTAATCAACTACTAACCTCAAGATTGGCAGTTCAAACCCACCCAGTGGCACCATGGAAAAAAAGCCTTAAAGATTACAGCCAAGAAAACCCTATGGAGCAATTCTACACTATAACACATGAGGTCCTGACACTGAATGCCTGGTTGTTCCAGGCAAATAGCTTGTACAAAGGTTGGGAGATGAAGGAGCACTAGGCCATAGACTTTATGGATGCAAGTACACTTTGGCCAGAATCACAGTGCAAGCCATTGGAGTGACCAAAACTAGGATGGGGAAGTGGCAAGGTGGCACAGTGGGACTCTTGAAGGGTTATCAGATTTACATTTTAGAAGGTTCACAGGCTCAATTACAAAGTGACTGAAGGTGAGCTGGACCAAGCAGCAGAGACAAAGTGAGAGGTGTGTTGAAATTGACAGTCTAGATTGATGGTTCCCTTGCTTATAGGAGTAGCAGAGGATTTGAGTATCATTGTGGAAGTAGAAGAAGGCTTGGCGGCTTAGTGGGTTACTAATTGAATTGGGCTGCCGATCACAAGGTCAGTGGTTCAAATCCACCAACCACTCCATGAGAGAAAGATCAGGTTGTCTGCTCTTGTGAAAATGTACAGTCTCAGAGACCCTGTGGAGCAGTTCTGTTCTGTCCTTTAGGGTTGATATTAGTCTAAATCAACTAGATGGCAGTGAGTGGAGGTAGGAACCACATACCTGATAATAAATTGGATGAGGGAAGGAGACTGGGGGAGACAAGGACAAATCTCAAGCAACTGGATACATGATGGCCATATTCATGGTAACTCGAAGTAAAGATGTTACAAACAAATCTGGGGAAAATACATGAGTCAAACTATTTGTTGTTGTTGTTGTTGTGGTTAAGTGCCGTCGAGTTGATTCTGACCCATAGTGACCCTGTATAGGGTTTCCAAGGAGCAGCTGGTGAGCTTGAACCACTGACCTTGCAGTTCAAATGACTTAGCAGTCTGACACATTAACCCACAGCGCCACACCAGGACTAGAGTCAAACTATAGGCATGCTGAAACTGTTGACTCTGTGGGACATCCAAGGAGTTGGCTATAGGATTTGGATTCTAGGAGAGAGATTGTTGTTGTTGTGAAGTGCTATTAAGTCGGTTCCGATCCATAGCAATCCTGTATAGGGTTTCCAAGGAGCGGCTGGAGGGTTTGAACCACTGACCTTGCTGTTCAAATTGACTCTGCAGTCAAGCGCATTAACCCGCAGTGCCACACCAGGACTCCAGGACAATTAGGGAATTATTAACATGTATATGCTAATCAAAGCCACAAAAGGAAATGAAGATCACCCAAGGAAAATGTATAAAATAGATTCAGACAAGTCCCAAGTTGATTTCAGGGAGGAAGTGGTCAGTAGTGTCATTGCCCAATGAGGATAAGTAAAACAAGGAAAGAAAAGGTTGTCCCCCCCAACCCCCAAATTCTATTATGAACAATTTTCAACTTGCAGGAAAGTTGAATGAATAATGCAATAATGTAAGGTGGAAGGTCACAGAAAAAGAGGAAGACCCCAGTGAGATGGATTGGCAAAGTGGCAGCATCAATGGGCTCAAGCGTGGAAACAATTGTGAGGTTGGCCCAGGACCGGGCAACGTTTCATTCTGTTGTGCATAGAGTCGCTATGAGTCGGTACTGACTTGATGGCACCTAACAACAACAACATGCTTCATCTAGATTTTACAATTGTTGACATTTTATCATATTTGTTTTCTTTAACCAAGTATATATATAAATCAACCATTGAAAACCCTGTGGAGCACAGTTCTACTCTGATACACAGGGTGACCTTGTGGCAACTAGATTGGTTGTCATTCTTTTTTTCTAACCATATAGATTTTTGTTTGTTTTGACTGACCATTTAAATGTAAATCTTGACCCTTCAAGTCAAAATTCATCAGCATCTAAGGCCAGGGTAAAATGAACAGAGGATCAAATAGTAGGTAAACAAAATGCACTAGGTGATAATTTTGCTTACAAATCTTTTACGATAAAGGGGAGTGAGAAAGTACTGCTGAAAGAGAAAGAGGTTTAGTTACTGTATTTTTGTTGTTATTTTTATTTGCTTGTTGTTATAAGGGGAAAGCCTAGAGCAAGTTTAACTGCTGATGGGAAGGAGCCTGTAGGGTGGGAGAAAGTGAAGGGAATAGTAAAAGCCTCTAGAGTTGATGGGAGAGGAGCATGACTATTGGATGGGAGGGCTCTGCCCCTGAGGGCAGAGAGTGTAGATGTCTGTGAGTCTAGGTCACGTTGCTGCAAAGGATTTTGTCTCAGGCCTTTCATTTTCTGTGATAAGCAAGCAGTGAAATTTTGGTAAGAGTGAGGGCAAGGTTGTGAGTGGAGACTTGAGGGGTAAGGGGATATGGAATACTCATGGCAAGGTGCTGGAAGACAGTGGGACAAGAGAGCATTTGGAGGGATGGACCAGGGCCTAGACCAGGTAGGAAGGAAGGAATGATCAGAAGGTTGATAAGGGCAAGAAACCAAGGCGCTGATTGTGAGGCAGGTGAGGATCAAGAGGATCTGGGTCAGAATGAGAAGGGTATGTAAGTCCTGAGGAAGCACAGGTATGGGAGGCTGAGATCCAGTTGTGTGCTTCACCTCTAACTGGGTCAACTCTCTGACCTCCTAGTCCCGTCCCTGGAGACTGGTGCAGAACTACTCCCCAGTTCTGCCCTCCTCCCCCTCCTGAGGCCTGGCCACTGAGCACTTGGGAGGAAACCAGAGCCTTCCTCCTTGCCAGTGTCTGGTTTCTGAGTTTCAGGGGCAGGCCATCTGGTGACAGCAAGGATGACTGGCCAGCCCCTGCTCCCTGGTCAGCTCAGTCTCCTCCCTGAGCAGGAACTAGCACCTGATGCAGCGATTCCTGCAGCTCCCAGGGGCCGTGGTGAGGCCAGGGGCCAGGGGGGCCTGTGGGGCTGATCAGGAGGCTGCCAGCCCTGTGTTGGGCCCTGAAGGTGGGCCCCCACCCTGGTATCAGGCCCTTCAACCCGAAGAGCTTCAGTGGCTGCAGATCCCAGAGGAAGATGCCACCCCAAAAGCCTCCCTGGAAGGAACTGGCCCAGAGCATGGTCAGGGCCAGAGCCAGAGCCAACCACTACGGTATAGAGGGACCCCTGGGACCCCAGTGAGCCAGGACAGCCAGAGTCACTGCCAACCCAGACTCCTACAAGCCCACCTCAGGTGGAGGAGGACTGGGCTGGCAGTTAGGGTGCAGGTTCTGTGTATGTGTGAGTGAGGAAGGGGGGTGGTGTGGGGGCATGGGCTTGGGTACAGTATGAGGGCTGAGAGTGTGAGTGGGAACAGATGAAGAATATAACCTCCCTCCCCTAGCACAGACTCTGAGGGGAGAAGAAGAAGGTTTGAGAATTGAGGTCCCACCTTGATTTTGTCTTCTCCTTAGACCTTGGCTGGGTAGGCTGTCGGTGAAGTTTTGGGAAACAGGATAAAACACACACTGAGTTCAGTGTTCAAGTTGGAACTTGGATGGGGAAGGGAGATGGGGGTGGGATGTAGGTTAGGCCAGTGAGTATGACTGGCCTCAAATGTCTTGTATCCCCTGGCTGTCTCTAAGCACCCCAGGAGAGGTCCCTAAGGCCAGGCCAGTGGTCAGATCAGCGGGAGAGCCATGTAAAGGGATCTGACCCTGGGAGGCTCCTATTTCATGGCCTTAGAGTGTTGCTGGCTATCTCTCCCTTCCTCTCCCTCTTGGAATATAAGCTGGTAGGAGCAAGAATGGGGAGTTCCAGAGTGGTCCTTTCTACCCCAGAAAGGTACTGCTGTCTGCGTTGGGGATACGGGGGTGGAGTGTCCTCAGTCTGATCATCAGTCCGGCCTGTACTCTGCTTTACACCCAGTGGCCCCTCCCTTCCCTCAGTTCCCCCAGCTCAGGCCAGGAGTCCTCAGTGGCCTAGGATGTTTGTGCTTGAGTGGGTAAGTGGGAATGGTGTGGATGCCCCGTGCATGCTCTGGGGCTTATGCATTTGACACAGGTCTATGGCATTTGTGGGTGAGGTAGAGACACCTGGGTGTGAAGAAGTCAACTTTGGAGCATAGCCAGAGTTATAGGAATCTGGGGAGACTCTGGCCACATCCCACTGAAGGCCAGTGGAAAGCTAGCCCCAGTTGACAGATGAGGACACTGGGCCTTTGTAGTGATACCCACCAGACCCCTCTGATGGAGGTTAGCAGCCTGACTCATAAGCACTACGCTTGATGTTGTTGTTGTTGTTAAAGTGTTATCAAAGTGATTCCAACTCTGAATAGGGTTTCCAATGAATGGCTGGTGGGTTTGAACAGACAACCTTGTGGTTAGCAGTCCAGCACTTATCCTATGGTGCACACCAGGATTCCATTTGATCTTAGAAGCCTGAGTTTATCACCAAGAATCTCAAATAGGACTCCATTGACCATTTTGCTGAATGAGATGAATGACTAAGTTTGTCAAAAAGCTGTACAAGGGGGACTTCAAAAAGTTTATGGGAAAATTCCATTGTCTTTTCATTCAATTTATCCAGGAACTTTTTGAATCTCCCATGTTTATGGTGTGCATATACATCTAGGAAAGTGGGTGTGTTTGCAGGTGTTTGTAGGAGTGTGTAAGTAAGCTGTGTGAATATCTATAGGTGTGTGGGTGCTTATGAATGGAGAGTAGATCTGTGCGTAGGGAGGTATGTCTATGAGTGTGTTTGTGGGGTTTGTAGGTGTGTCTGTGGTAGGGTTTTATGGGCGTTTAATAGCTAATGGGCGTCCTGGTGTGGTGCTGTGAGTTAATGTGCTCAACTGCAAGGTCAGTTTAAACCAAAAGGTTGGTGGTTCAAGCTCACCAGATGCTCCTCAGAAATCCTATATAGGGTCATAATGAGTTGGAACTGACTCTTAACAACAATAACAATGGCAATGCGCAGCTGCTAAGCGAAAGGTTGGAAGTACAAGTCCATCCAGTGGTGCCCTGGGAGAAGGCCAAACATTAGTCATTGTAAACCCCGTGGTGCACACCTGGGATTCCCATGAACTAGAAAGCATTCAACAGCAACTGGTTCCTGGTTGGTTATGAGTATGGTGGGTGTGTCTCTAGGGGAGATGTGGGTGGTAGGGGTGTGTCGGTGGTTCATGTGTTTGGTGAGGGTGTTAGGGTATGTAGGTGTCTGACTGTGGGTGTATGAGTGTGTGAGTGAGGGGCTCTGAGGGTACAGTGGTGTGTGTGTATTGAGGGAGGTTGTGCCCAGATCTGCCATTCTTCTCAGATCCTCAGTGTTACTCAGGCCTAACCAATGGTCTGTAACTGTATATACTCCAGATTCCCCTTAGGGAATGGGGAGGTGACAAGGTGATTGTCTTCTGACCCTGGCTTGTCCATGGGAGATTAGAAGGTACCCTCTAGTTTCAGAAGCATCCCCTCATGTCGGCAAATTTTAGTACTACATGGCCAGGGTTGAATACCTTCTTCTACTCTCATCTGGAGGCTTGTGAGGTTTCTGGGTTCTAGAAGGCATCTTTGTAGTCTGCTTTCCATGAACAAATCTCTTCAGAAAAGACACTTTCTGAAATCCTTGAGGCATCAGCTTCTTACCTTCTGTCTTTGGTGATTTTATCCAAGAGGCGCTCGTGTATTTCGACAGCGCAGTGACTGGGGCATTTAAATTGGGTTCTTCTTTTCATCTCAGCACTTGTCACATAAGCATTTTTAGCATCAGCAGCAGTTACAATGGCCTCTTTGTGACTGTTGTCCTGCTTCTAATATTGCTACTCCCAATTTCTGACTTTCGATTGCTTCTGAATGTTTCACTAACTATACACATGTAGCTTTTTAAGTACCATTGATGATCCTTCCCAAAGTCAGGTTCTCACACCTGGGTCAAAATCTGTGTGCAGGCTGGAGGCTTTCATTGTGTGAACAGAGCATGGTTTGGGAAATTACAAGGGTTTTCAAGTCCCCACACAGCTAGTCACCACACTTTGGAATTGTTTGGGCGACATAGCAATGTACTAGTTGTTCTACAACCCCATCAGCTGGGTATAAACACATTTTTCCATGGGTTTAATGAAAATTCTCTGTTCGCTTTTTTGACTACCTGTCCCAGGACCTCTAAGGATGGTTGGGTGGGTTGCTCATTGCACAAAGGTGCCTAGACAAGGAATGCCAGTTTGTGCTCCACCACCTGAGTAGGGAGCATCAGCCCAGGACTGCATGTACCTACAGGGGCAAACAGATGGGGGGTCAGCTTGTGATAGCCTTGGCAGTGAGTACCAGATGTGGTGGTGACGGTGTGCCGTGGAGTCAGTTCTGACTCATAGCGACCCTGCATAGCGTTTTTGAGGTTGTAAATCTTTACAGGAGCAGAAGGCTTCATCTTTTTCCAGTGTAATGTCTGGTAGTTTAAAACTGCTGACCTTGAGGTTAGCAGCCTGACTCATAACCACTACGCTACATAGATTTATATCAGATCTTTATCTATTTCACCCGTCATACCCCAAATATTTCCCTTTTGTTGCCTTCAAAAAACAATTACTATAGAGTTCGTTCTGACTCATGAAAACTCAGGAGTGTTAGAGCCGTACTATGCTCTATAGTTTTCAGTAGCTGATTTTTCAGAAGTGAATCACCAGGTCTTGCTTCTGAGGTGTCTCTGGGTAGACATGAACCTCCAACTGTTTTGTTAGCAGCTGAGCACGTTAATCATTCGTACCATCTCACCCCTTACTATCACGGCTATTCTGACTCATAGTTACCTCATCGGGCAGAATGGAATTGTCCCATAGGGGTTTTCAAAGTTGTGTCTTTATGGAAAGCCACTGCCACATACTCCTACAGCAGATCCACTGATAGGTTTAAACCACTGGCGTTTCACTTAGCTGCTGAGTGCTCAGTGCCACCAGGCCTCCTTTGCATCACCTTACTTCGTAATTTTAGTGTTTATCATACCCAAGTTTAAAAAAATGAAACCCATCCATCTTGTCACTGATAATTTCATGACCCTTGAAAATAAAACTTCACCATTCCTCTTCCGCATTTAAAAACAATTTAACTAAACCGATGTGGAATTGGTTTGGGCAGGAAGTATGTGCAGAACTTAAGATTCTTTACTGCATAGCAGTTTCCCCAATAACACTTACTGAAAAAGAAAAAAAGTTCTTTCTTCCACGGTGGGTTATTTGTTCCTTATGTGCCTAGGAAGGAGTCTGGTAGCGTCATGGGCTACACATTGGGCTGTTAACCTCACGGTCAGCAGTTCAAATCTACTAGCTGCTGCTGGGAGAAAGATGAGGCTTTTTGCTCCCATAAAGATTTGCAGCCTCAGAAACACTATATGTATCAGCATTAATGGTGATGGAGAAGAATATTAATGGTACCAGGGACTGCCAGAATACAAACAAATCTGAGTTGGAAGAAGTACAACTAGAATGCTCTTTAGAAGCGAAGATGGCCAGACTTATCTCTCATATTTTGGACATATTATCAGGAAGGACCAATCCTTGGGGAAGGACATCATGCTTGATAAAGTGGAAGGACAGGGAAAAAGAGGGAGGTCCCCAATGAGATGGATTGGCCCAGTGGCCACAACAATAGGTAAAGCATAGCAGTAATTGTGACGATCGCATAGTACCCGAGGATGTTTTGTTCTGTTGTACCTAGGGTTGCTATGTGTTGGAACTGACTCAACAACACTTAACAACAACAATGTATCCACTTCGATCCATTTCTGAAATTTCTCCCTATGACCTTTGACTTTTTCTTTGTTGTCATGTTGTTTGATGTTTTGAAGTACTGTAAGGTGAACTCTCATTGTTCTCTTCTTTTCTCCAAAATATTCTGTGGATTTTTTTTTTTTTTTTAGTTTACTGATTAGTTTTCCCAGATGACTTTTTCTTCATAAAGTTTGACAAAATTTATTCAAATCTTATTTAGGCCTCCTATTAGGATTTTGGAGTCCTGGTGTAGTGCTGTGAGTTAATGCGCTGGACTGCAAAGTCGGTTTGAACCTCTAGGTTGGCGGGTCCAGCTTACCAGTCGCTCCTCGGAAACCCACGTAGGGTCGCTATGGGTCAGAACCAACTGACTCTCCAGCACATAAATAAACCCCATTGCCACCTTTAGTTTGATAACTTCCTTGAATGGTGACTGACAGAGGTGGACTTTTTTGAGACCATCCATCTGTGGAATCTCTGGGATTCATCCCATCCTTGGAATCAGTTCGGTCTGTGGGGTCAAGGCCTGAAAACACATTCAGACAGGACAAGGACATCCTGCTCTTACCCTGATGCTCGTGTCATCCACCCAACTGGCCCTGTTTCTTGAATAGGGTCCATACCTCTTTCTACCCCAAACCCTTCCTCTGCTATGTCTGCTGACTCACATGCTTCTCCCAACCCCAAGCCCTCTGACCTATCACCATCATCACCCGCCCCATTCTGGTCCCTCTCTACTGGGATGTCCTGCTTGAACCTTCTCAGACCTGTGTTCCTTCTACCTGCCTGAGTCTTCCTGATTGACCCCCCACTGCCCCTCAACCCTTGTGACCTCAGCTGATCCCTGTACCTTCCACCAGGCATGATGACCTAAAGGAAATGCTGGATACCAACAAGGACTCGCTCAAGCTGGAAGCCATGAAGAGGATTGTGGCGGTATGTGGCGGAAGGAGAGGTCTTCCTTGGGAGTGTGATCTGGGTGTCAGAGAGCAGCTCCTTCTGGCTCTTTGTGGACCCTCCCCTAATCAGTGCTGTACCTCTGCCCTGCTCCCTCTTTCCCTACCTTGACCCTACCACCCTAGATGATTGCCCGTGGAAAGAATGCTTCAGACCTTTTTCCTGCCGTGGTGAAGAACGTGGCCTGTAAGAACATAGAGGTAAGCACTACCCAGTGAGGACTCCCGATCACCTCCTCTACCAGCAATAAGCCCAACTGGGTTGGGGGTGAGGAGAAGAATCATTCAGCTCCTTAGGATCTGACCTACTCAGAAATGTCCTTGGGCCCAGAAGACAGTTCTGCACTCATATGGGTCAGGATGAATGACCCAGGATTCACTCATGGGAAAAACTTTCCCCCCGACACACACTGCAGCTAGTTAGGGTGATGACATTCCAGGGAACAGGAACACCAGCCCCTGCTTAGAAACCTGCTCTCTCCCAAGGTGAAAAAGCTTGTCTATGTGTACCTGGTGCGCTACGCAGAGGAGCAACAAGACCTGGCCCTGCTGTCCATCTCCACCTTCCAGCGTGGACTAAAGGTGAGACATCTCAGTTTGGCTCTCTGGGGCTTGGGCCTCATTGTTTCTTTACTAGATGAGTGAACCCAGGTAGATGCCACAAGCATGAGCAGAGGGGAGGCAGTCTGGAGGTCCCTTCCTGTCTACCACAGAAGGGAGGTGGAGAGTGAGAGGGGAGGACCAGTAAGACCCTCAGGGTGGAGGCCAGGTTCAAGAAGGGGTGGAAGAGATGAAATGGGTGCCCAGGAACCTAGCTCTCCCACTCAAATAATAAAACCTGTGATAATGGTTGCCATTTAAGACATTAACAACAGAAAACCCCTCTGCCTCACCCCCATTGCTATAAAGGTGTTCATTGTGGCTCACAGCGACATAGAAATCAACCCGGGTAAGACAGGATTCTGTGAGGGAGCTGCTGACCTGGATTCCTCCTCACCTCTGGCCATCAGTGTCTTGGCACTGGCAGGTACACGGAGTCCAGGTGTCTGTAGCCAACTATGACTATGGGAACCTTTTTCACCTAGAATTTGGTAAGGAGGACAAGAAGGTTTACTTAGAATACCTGAGCTCCTCAGAAAGGAAAACAACAAAGTTTACTATCCAATGTGATGCCTTACAATCAGTACTGGACGGCTAACCACAAGGTCAGTGGTTGAAACCCATCAGCTGCTCCTTGGAAAACCTGTACAGAGTCACTGGGAGTCGGAATCAACTCTAGGGCACTTAACAACAACAACAAGAGTTGCCTCACATGGCAGTTGGGTTCTAAGGTCAGCACCAAACCCCAAATTCCCACTGCCATGGAGTTAATTTAGATTCGTAGTAACCCGTAGGACAGACTAGAGCTGCCTCATAATTTCTTTTTATGATATAATTGATTTTGTTGTATGATATAATTGATTTGTATACATTCAGCAGAATATACACAAATTTATTTTCTACATGTACAATTTAGTTACACTGATTATATTCTTCAAGTTGTTCCTTCCTCATTAATATAAACTCACTGCCCTCTAAATTTCCTGTCTAATCTTTTAAGCTATTATTGTAAATTTGAACCTATGTAGATACATTCCAAACGGGCTCAAAGCTCAATGCAGACTGCAGTGCAATGGGTTTTTATGTGTCTTTTTCTGCCCCTGGGTTTGTAGTTCTGCAAAATGGTTTGCTAGGCCACAATCTTGTGAAGGGATTGAACAGTTCACTAAGCAAATAAGGTGTGAAAACCCTTCAAGGATTGGTCAATTACTATGCAAATTAGGAGACAAGGTCCTACTGAGCAAGACTGTAATCTTTATTGAGGCAAACTGCCATGTTTTTTTCCACTAAGGGGCTGGTGAGTTTGAACCACTGATTTTGGTTAGCAGCCAAATGCTTAATAACTGTGCCACCAGGGACCTTCCATGGTTACCATACCCCCAGCCCACTGCTATTGAATAAATTCTGACTTATAGTAAACCTATAGAGGGTACCTGAGGCTATAAATCTTTATGGGAACAGCTTCATCTTTTCACCTGAGGAGTGACTGGTGGGTTTGAACCATCAACCTTGTACATAGCAACTTAATGCCAAACTCACAGTGCCACCAGAGCATAACATATATGTTAACCAGGGTTAACACAGAGAACAAAAATATATATATTTATCAAACAAACTGTGAAATTCCCATCTCTTAATAAGTTCAATACAGACAACCCTTCCTCTACAGTTGAAACGTATCTGTCTTTCTGCTCTTTGGCTCCAGAAAAAAATAATTAGCTTGTCTTAGAAGTTCAGCATATTGAAAATACCTCCTTTAAAAAAACAATCTTTTTATTTTGAATTTTGTGAAGGTTTACAGAGAAAATCAGTTTTCCATTCAACAGTTTATACACATTTTGTCTCTTGTCTGTGTTTGCACTCCCTACAATATAATGCCACTTTCTCCTTGTGTCCTGTTAATTTCCCTCCTTCTTTCCTAACCCTTCCTGCCATCTGAACTTTGTCCTTGGGAAAATTCTGCCCTTTTGATCTCAAATGGTGAATGTTCTAAGGAGTGTGGGCCTTCCTACTGTTACTGTTCACCGTATAGGCCTGTATATTATTTGGCTGAAAATTGAGCCTTGGGGGTGAGTTCAGTTTAAGCCCTGAAGGGTAACTAAAGCCATAAGTTCAGGAGTCCCACCAGTCTCTTTCTGACCAGTAAGCCTGGTGCCTGCTCTTTTTTATGATTCTGAGTTTTGTTCCATAATTTTCTCCCACTCTATCCAGGACCTTCCCATCTAATTTTTCTGGGGTCAGTTGTAAAAGCTGAGGTCTGCAGAGTGCATTAGCCCTTTGGACTAATTGTTTCCATCTGTCTTCATTTTTCTTTACTATCCTTTGCCCTGGATTGGGAAAGATCAATCGTTGTATTTAAAGGTCCACTCGTCCACTTCCAGGACCCAGTGACTACTCATCAAAATAAGATGTGGAACACTGTCGTCTTTGTGGACTGGGTTATACCAATTGACCTTGATGTCCCTTTTGACTATGATCCTGAACTCTCCAGCCCAGTGACTCATTCTCTGAAGGTATTTGGGTAGGTTAGAAGTTTTCCTAATTTTGCCTCCTGTAGGCTCCAGGCAAATACATACGTAGAAATTTATTCTCTCGAACCTATACACACATTCATGGGTGTAGCCCCATTCTCCTTCCCATAACAGTTCAGCTTATGTGTCTATCTGTGCATCCTCTTGTAGATTATTGTTACTGCAGGATTGTATATATAATAGTACTTACCTCTGTTGCTTGTAACTTGTACTCTTCCTAGTGTCTTCCTTTACCATCAAAAAAATACACATCTTTCAATACTTGATCACTTCCGTTGAGGTAGATGTTCTCCTTTATTGTTGTTGTTGAGATGTTCTCCGAGGTAGACAGAAATTGAAATCACTCAAGGGACAGTAGAAAGACTCATGTCAGCTAGAATGGAGTTGTGGGCAGAATCCCCCATAGTATTTTAATTGTGAAGATCTCATTTTTTATTTTGTTGTTTTCCCCAAGACCTATAATTTAGTTCTGGTGTGGCACTGTAGGTTAATGTGCTGGACTACAAAGTCAGTTTGAACTCTAAGGTTGGCTGTTCAAGCTTATCAGCCACTCCTTGGAAACCCTTTACCGGGTCGTTATGAGTCGGAACCAACCCAATGGCACTTATTAAGTAAATCTAAGCACTTATTAAGTGCTGTTGAGTTGGTTCCAACCCACAGCAACCCTGTATAGGGTTTCCGAGGAGCAGCTAGTGAGCTTGAACCACCGACCTTGCAGTTCAAATGGTTTTGCAGTCTGGTGCATTAACCCACAGCGCCACACCAGGACTCCCCATGACAATAATAAGGAAGACCTAACAGGGGAAACCTAATTCAGAAGAATAAACAAATCTGTCTTAGAAGAAGTATAACCAGAATGCTCCTTAGAAGTGAGGATGGTGAAACTTGGTCTCTTGTACTTTGGATATGTTGTCAGGAAGGACCAGTCCCTGGAGAAGGGCATCATGCTTGGAAAAGTGAAAGGCAATGAAAAAGAGGAAGACCCCCGACAAGATGGGTTGATACAGTGACAGCAACAGTAGGCTCAAACATAACTGTGAGGATGGCACAGGACAGGCAGTGTTTCCTTCTGTTGTGCATAGAGTCACTATGAGTTCAAACTGACTCGATGTCACCTAACAACAACAGCAATTTAGATTGGGGGCCAGGAAAAGAAAGTGGCGAAGAAAAGAACCTGGTGAAGAGTCACTTTCGATTTGAAGTGTGAGCTGAAAGTAGTGTCCTACTGCACAATCGAAACTATGCATTGGCAATGTAGGATAAATCCTGGAATGTTAACCATAATATCTGCTGTTCAAACCCATCAACCATTCCTCAGAAACCTTATACACGGTCGTTATGGATCAAAACTGACTCAATGGAACTTAACAACAACATATGATATCAGTGGTACAAAGCCCAGAAAGTAAGCAAAACTCTACAGTGACTTGAGTGTCTGGACCTTTGTTTTCTTTAACTTTTTCATTGAGGTTTAACTTATACACAGTAAAGCCTCTGGGACTCTATATTCCTTCCCCTCTAAAACAAGGGGCTTGGACTGATCAGTGCTATTCCAACTAACCATGATTCATTCTAAAAATCTCTGCTTTCTAGGGAATTCTGATTATGCAAGGCTCAATGCTTGGCTGCTAACCTCAACATCAGCAGTTTGAACCCACCCGGTGGCTGTGTGGGAGAAAAGACTTGGTTATCTGCTCCTGTAAAGATTCAAAAACCAACTCAATTCCAACCCAAAGTGATGCTACAGGACACAGTAGAACTGCCCCATTCCAATACTTTGAATTTTACTCAACTCAACAGTAAGAGGTTTAATCTGTATAGAAGCAGACTGCTACTTCTTCTCCCATAGAACAGCTGCTGGGTATGAACCAGTGACCTTTCGGTTAGCAGCTGAGCAGTTAACCATGTGTTACCAAGATGGCAACCTAGAAAACTCTATGGGGCAGTTCAGCTCTGTCACATGGGATCACTGTAAGCTGGAGCTGACTAGATGGCACCTAAAAACAATATGCTTACTGCCTATTATTCCCACTAACCTATAAGCTTTAAATGTTTAATGAACCAATGAATGTTACGGACTTTTATCAGAGTTTATTTGGAAAAATGAGCTCTGTTTGAAGGCGCCTTCTAGCTTTCACAGTATCTGAACCTCCACAGGTACTCAGGATTCTGGTTTGTTTTTTTTAATTGGACCTGCCTCATGTCTTCTCTAACGGCCACCCCAATTTTAAAAAACAAAACCCAACCAGTTGCTATCAGTCAATTTTGACTCATGGTGACCCCATATGTGTAAAGTTTGCACCATAGGGAGTGATTTTTCAGAACGGCATCTGATTTTTCAATAGCTGAATTTTCATAAACAGGTAAGGCCATTCTTTCTCTGGGTGAACTTGAACCACCAACCTTTTAGCACATTATCTGCACTTCCCAGGGACTCCTTTAAGGCCAACTCACTGGAGAGCTCCAAGAGCAGCTTCTCAGGTCTCCTACTCGAATTCCCTTCTTCATGGCCTCCTGCCCACCTTGCTCTGGTCCTGCTTGCTGGCTGAAAAGCATCCAGCTTCACCTTAGAGAATTTACTAGATGCTATTGTGCACTCCCTCAAATTAACTTGAAACCATCAGAGACCAGTTCTTTCCTTTCTGAACCTTGATTCATAGGGCTCTATCATCAGGAGCATCATTCGAACCTTCTTAGTGTTTCAATAATGAGGTCAACCTTTTTTTTTTTTCTTTTCTGTTAAGTCAAAGTCGTATACTACAGATACCTTTTTGTTTGAATCAGAAGTAGACCATTTCTGAAAAATTTTATAAAAATTATTCTGGAGTTTTGGTAAAGACAACCTTTACATTTTCCTGTATTTTCTACAGTCTGTCCCTTTTCATTGTTTAGAAAGCCAGAGGTCATTTAGTACCACTCACTGCAATGATAACTCAGGATGGTGGTCAGCAAACTTTTCTGTAAAGTGCCAGAAAGTAAATATTTTAGGTTTGGGGGCAATACAATGCCAACTGTGCCAGTTACTCAATTTTGTTCTTACAGTATGAAAGCAACCATAAATTAGTGGGCATGACTGTATCTCAAGAAAAGTTTTTTTGTTTTGCAAAAATGCCACTGGATGGATTTGTTCTGAGAAGCATACTGTGCCAATCTCTGCTTTAGACACCTCTGCCAGATCATCTCCAGTGATAGGGACGTCATTCCACAAAGCGGCCCAGTCCATCTTAGGACAACTGTATCGGTTTGTTTTTACAAAATTCACTATAGTGCATTGAACCCTACTTTTCTGTGATTTAAAATAAATTATTCAGACTCACAAAGAAGTTGTAAAGAATGATATCATGAATACCCAAATACTCAATGAAGAAATACTAGTGGCACTGTAGGATAAGCATTGGACTGATTGACAAGGTTGACAGTTCAAACCCACCAACCACTCCATGGGAGAAATACGAAGCTTTCTGCTCCCGCAAAGATTTACAGCTTTGGAAACCCTATACAGGGTCCCTGTGAATCAGAAACAAGGGCATTTAACAACATACTCAGTGTAAGAAACAAAACGTTTATCAAATAGCCAAAGGCCCCTATTTCTCTTTCCTGTTATATGCATACCTTTGTTCTTTTACTAAATTTTAATGTATTCCTAAGCAATGTAAAATAATGTTTTGTAAATGGTATCATATTATATGTAATATATATTCCTCTGCAACTTGGTTTCTTTGTTGTTGTTGCTACTGTCTTCTGGTCTTTCCTGCCCGCTGGAACCAGTCACTTTCATCCACAGTTCTTCCTTCATTTTATCAGGCCAGCTGAATCCATATAGCACACTCACGTGGTTGGTTCAACTTAGACAAAGCTCTAGTTGGCAAGAGGATAATCTGCCTTCCCAATATACTATTTCCTTATGCAACTGATCTTTTCATCCACCTACACAATCTTATTATATTTCATTTTATTGGTTGAGCACAGGTCCTAAACCCCGAGTAATTCTGAGTCTTAATTTTGTCTCTCCTGATTTCGTGACTTCTTCCAAGATGTTGATACACGATTCAGACCAGGACAACAGACTTTAGTCCTGTGGTATATCACAATTCCAGGTTGATACCGATCTCTTAATGAAACTGCCCCAAGTACAATGTTTTACCAAGTTGTAGATTCATCTAGCTGTACATTGGCTGGCATTTCCCCACATTGTCAGCAAGGAGCTTTTTCAGTAGGAATAAGTAAATAACACCTTTCATGTGAAAAGGGCTGTGAGTGTTACAGAAATGAAATAGACATGAATTCTGCTCTGAAAATGCTTACATATTAGGTGAAACAAAACACCAACATCAAAAAGGGCAATTCAGGAAATACAAATAAACACTAGGCCTCAAGGTCAGTTTGAACCACAAGGTCAGAGGTTCAAACTCATCAGCTGTTCCTCGGAAACCTTATACAGGGTCACTATGAGTTAGAACTGACTCTACAGCACTTAACAACAATATCTACCAGTCTGATTACCCTATCAAAAAGGAAAACATGTTTTGCAACTTCCTGGGATCATATGTTGTTGTTGGTTTTGCTATGTGCCGTTGAGTCGGTTCCAATTCATATGAGACGTCGTATAGGGTTTCTGAGAGTGGCTGGTGGGTTTGAACTGCCAACCTGTGACTATCAGGCCAATGCTTATCCTACAATGCTACACCAGAGCTCTGTTACCCTATAATCATTTCCTAATACAATGTTTTGTTTGTTTTTTTTAAAAAAGCAAGCGTTAGTGGTTGCCTTAATATGACTTGTGTCTAAGAAACTACAGACTCCTGCTTTTTAAATGCGTGCTTCTAAACCAACTTAAAAAAAAAAAGAAAGAAAAATCAACTCTAGAATTTTACCAGAGATTGCCACCAATTTCACCTATAATTTTGTGAATCTTACCTTTTCTCGTTTTAGAAAATCAGGGTAGCATCTGCCTTTCTTTAGTATTATGGTACCTTTCCTGTTGTCCATCATTTCCCAAGATTAACAGTAATTTACAGATGCTGCTGCAGACGATAATGGGAAGATAGCCCTGAGCCCACTGATTCCAATCCAGTGTATCTAATGCTCTTATCAGTTGCGTGTAGAGTATAATGGGAGCAAAGAGGAGAGATCTACACACTCTGCTTTGAGCACTGAAGGAATAAGAGGTGGCTGTTGGGAGACTGGAATGTAAGAATGAGTTCTTTGGATGGAGACCAGCTTACATTTTCTGGAGATCACCCCAGGCATAAACACAAAGAGACCCCACTCTTAAATCAGGTTGGCTCATACAGAAACATAAAGTGTTATGAGACACTTTTTGAAAGTGAAGCTACCCATTTCCATGCTGGTTGAGGTATCAGATTTCTGCAGCCAGGGCCAAGAGTCAGTGTCCCCAAATAGTGTCCAGAGGACCCAGTGTTGGCACACCATTCAGGCTCATGTCAGGAGGCAGGGAAGCAAAAACTAGTAGTAGTTGGGAATAGTGACTTGCAGACAGTGTGTCCTTGTCCCATCAAGGTACCTCACGCCTTCTCATTTGCTTGCTTCCACCTCTCCCTTTAGGACCCCAACCAGCTGATTCGGGCCAGTGCCCTACGTGTCCTCTCTAGCATCCGTGTGCCCATCATAGTGCCCATAATGATGCTGGCCATCAAGGAAGCTGCCTCAGACATGTCACCTTATGTTCGGAAAACAGCTGCCCATGCAATCCCTAAACTCTACAGGTACGCCCGTCACTCCTGGGTATTGGTTCCGAAGCCCAGTCTCATTGCAGGCAGCTCCTCGTTTCACTCTCCAGGTGATTTAAGGTGGTTTGGACAGTTGACTGAAATGGAGGACAATGAGATGGGGTTCCACCTCTTTATGAATAATCAGGGTTTGGGGTGCAGGAGGTGAGCGGGACTTGAGCAGATATTGTAAAGGCTGGCTATGGGAGTGGACACAAATCTTCCTCAATAATTTCTCCCTCAGTTTGGACTCTGACCAGAAGGACCAGCTGATTGAGGTCATTGAGAAGCTTCTCGCTGACAAAACCACTGTGCGTATTTAGGGTTCACAGGGATGGAAGAAGGAAAGATGTGTGCCTTTCCGATTCACCCTCCTGCCTCTGCTCCTTCCCCAGCTGGTGGCAGGCAGCGTGGTGATGGCCTTCGAGGAAGTGTGCCCGGAGCGCATCGATTTGATTCATAAGAACTACCGGAAACTTTGTAACCTGCTCATTGACGTTGAGGAGTGGGGCCAGGTCGTCATCATCAGCATGCTCACCCGCTACGCACGCACCCAGTTCCTGAGCCCCACCCAGAACGTGAGTGGGCCCAGGCTTCCAGGCATGATGGGTGGGAAGATCCGCCGGGCAGACGGTCATCCTGTCTCCTCCTCCAGGAATCCCTGCTAGAAGAGAACCCCGAGAAAGCCTTCTACGGTTCAGAGGAGGACGAGGCCAAGGGTACCGGGCCAGAGGAGGCTGCCACCACAGCAATGCCCGCCCGAAAGCCCTACGTCATGGACCCAGACCACCGGCTGCTGCTGCGCAACACGAAACCTCTCCTGCAGAGTCGCAGTGCTGCCGTGGTCATGGCGGTGGCACAACTCTACTTCCACCTAGCACCCAAGGCGGAGGTGGGCGTCATCGCCAAGGCGCTCGTGCGTCTGCTGCGCAGCCACAGGTGCGCTCTCCCCCGCCTACGTCGCCTAGCCCACCTGCTCCTACCTTCACCCCAGTCTCGTCCTTCTCCTGATACTTCTCACCCCTCTACTCAGCCCACCTTTTTTCTCCCCACCTTTACCCCTGGCCCCAGCTGAGGGGCCCAGGGACCTCTGACTCATCTCTCCACAGTGAGGTGCAGTACGTGGTCCTCCAGAACGTGGCCACTATGTCCATCAAGCGCAGGGTGAGCATGCGAGCAAGGCCTGCCCTCACCATTTGATGGATAGCTGCTGGGGGTGTCGGGGCACTACTGGGGGCGGGACCTGGGGCACTGTTGGGGGCGGGTCCATCAAGAGCGCAGTGAGCATGCAATCAAGGCTTGTCCTCACCATCCGATGGACAGCTGCCAGGCACTGTTGGGGGTGGGATGTGGAGGAAGAAGAGTTGGGAATACCTGGGCTTAGTGGGACTAGGAGGAGACCAGTGGGATGGGACCAGGCCAGAGCCAGAGGAAGGGGAAGCCCTAATACAAGCTGAGGAGCAAGGTTTAGAACCCGAAGGGCCCCTGGGGGGAGGGGAGAGAGGCATAGTCATGTCTGAGGGGAGGAATTTGAGAAGTGGAGGACCATGATGAGGTAGGAAGGATCCTGGGCCCTGGGTCCAGAGAAGATGGGTGGCTTTGGAGGAGGGGCAGGCCTGGGGCTGCCGGTACGCTCCAAGGTCTGTCTACCTGTCTGTTCTAGGGTATGTTTGAACCCTACCTGAAGAGCTTTTACATCAGGTCTACCGACCCCACGCAAATCAAGATCCTGAAGGTGAGTGATGTACAGACACGCAGGGAGATTTCAGGTTCCTCCTGACCCCCACATGCCCACTTCCATAAGTCACAGTAGCCAGCCTTGGTGCCTACCTATTTATGGGGTTGAGCCTACAGCTTTCTCAGCCAGATGTGTTTGTTCAAGGAGCCAAGTTAATGAGAACTGAGATGGCCCATTGCCTGGTATTTGTACACCTGCCACTCCACATATGCATTCGCTTTTTTTTTGTAATAAGCCCATTTTATAAAAGTGTAGACTTGTGGGTAACTCTGCTTACTCCAAAGCTTATGCTTTTCTCACTGCAGTCTTCTACCTCCCACCCAGCATTACCACCCACAGAAAAAATGACAAAAGCCCATACCTCTACTCTACTCCCACTCTGATCCCACGTTCCTGAGTGCTCTTCATTCATTCTCCTAACCCTTCCTGAGCTTCTACTATATATTTCTACATGACTAGAGCTAGGGGTAGAAGTGAGAAAAAGCAAAAATAACCAGGGACCCTGCCCTTGTGGAGCTTATAGGCTAGTTGGGGAAAGGAGGAAACATTAAGCAGCTAATTTCAAAACACAATGGAATATTATGCTACCTTGAAGAACAACAAGGAAGCTGTAAGCTATCACATCACATGGATGAACCTTGAGGACATTATGTTGAGGAAAATTGTTGTTGTTAAGTGCCATCGAATCAATTCTGACCCATAGCGACCCTGTATAGGGTTTCCAAGGAGAAGCTGGTGAGCTTGAACCACTGTTCTTGCAGTTCGAATAATTCTGCAGTCTGGCGCGTTAGCCCACAGTGTGCCACATCAGGACTCAGTTACAAAAGGAGAAATATTGCATAGGACCACTACTGTAAAAGACTAAGAAAAAGAACCCATACTAAAGGGGGGAGGATGTGGGAGGTGGAGTGAGGGGATGGAGGGGAAAGTGGAGCACAGGGTAGGGAATAGACACAGGATAGTTTGGGTGCTAGGGAGGGGAGCAATACACAAGAAAAGGGATGGGAAAACAATTAGGCAGATTTGCATGAGCTAAGTGGGACAGAGGTAAAGAATGATGTAGGCACAACCTTGGAAAAACAGGACTCTGGGATATAGGGATTGAGACAGGGTTGGAATGGGCAAAAGGGGGGAAATAATGTTAAGATGCTTGGCTGTCTTTTGAATCTTGGTTTCCCTGGCATATCATTATAAAATAGACACTTGAAGGGGAGAGAAAGGAATAGCCAGAAATATCACCATAGAAAGCTTGTAAGTCTGTCTTCTGCCTATTGGACTGATTGAAATACCTAAAATGGGGTTACGACGTGCCCAGTAAAGGAGGCATCCTGCAGAGCCTCTGCATTACTTAAGATTATAGGTGGAATCCTGAACCCCATCTAGAATCTTCTCAGGTGGGAAATTTCCACTTGAAAGGACAAGCAGACCAGCCTGGAGCGGCTAGAATAATAGAAGATACTTCTTGAAAGAAAGACCAACCTGGAAAATAAATAACAATATAGGCAGACCGACTGATTACTACAAAAACAAGCAAGTTGCTCACCCAGGAGACATCAAGGCAAGTGCTTGGGTCCCTTCAGAGCAAAACCCCTTCCAAGACTAAGACTAAATGGTAATACGCAAGCAGACATGTGCTCTGATTGGTGATCACGTTCATTACCGATAAGGGAAAGTGAGGGAAAAACAGCAATGAAGCTGCAAGCTAAGCCCTACAACGTTCAATAGACTCCTGTGAACCCGGGTGGAGACCTGGTTGGCCAGCAGTGTGGCAAGACCTGGGGATTCTGACATAGCCACAGAGGACTAGAGTAGAGAGTGATAAGAAGAGATAAGAAAAGAGGGCATATGCATAAGAATACCCACACAGATAATACCCACTTGATCTGGCTTCAATGACTGGATGATCAGAGCTCAACTAGAAGATGAAAGAAGAGGAAAATAAGAGTAATCTGATACAATTTGATGAACTTGGCCTACACCTATGGATGCAGTAGCTCAAAAGAGAGAACAAATCTTTACAGCAAGGATCATTCCCACCCCCTCCATACACAGAGTAGACAGGGATGGGCAGTTTGGACATTGGCTACCCAAAATGAGGGGTGCTACACAGGCAAGAAGTGACTGGCTTACAAGCTTTCAAGAGGGAGCCTAGATCCAGAGGACTTGGAGGAAGGTAGAATCTCCACTGAGTAGTATCCAATCTGTCTGGGCAGGGTTGATGAAAGAAGGTTGGGGTAAGTCTCTTGTGATACAGTAGTGAATAATTGTTATCAGGACTGACTGTGAGGATTAGAAATGTAAAGGTAGAAGTTTTGTAGCAAAAGGAGGGGAATGATTGACTTTGCAGTCCAGGAGCAGAGGTCCCTGGGACCATCAAGGGAGAAGAGCAGAGTGTGGGACCCTACCCTGAGAAATAGAGACACCAGAGATGGAGGCAGAGATGATGATGTGGAGAGATGGAGTGGCTGGGAACTCTAGACCCAGAGAGGGAGGGGGCTATGTGCAGACGACTGGGGGACAGACTTGCAGGGTATACCTTTTGGTTGATGATGCCTGGAGGGGATTATAACCATGGCAATGAAACGATATATGATAGGATGAATGTAAAGCTGATGTTCTCCCATGAAAACTATCACATAATTCACTATAAAACATTAAAAAAAAAAAAAAAGTTGAAAATAGAAAAAAATAAAAAACAAATGCAAAATTCCATTTGTGAACTATAGTAGGAAAGAAAATACCTAGCGCTATAGAGTATCAAATAGAGGCATAAGAAATTAGCATGAATTGTTTAGGTAAGGACAGAGAGAAGTGGCCAGCACTGCTCCAAACAGAGAGGACAGCGTATGTAAAGACTCTGGGGCAGGAGGGATCTGATAAAAGTCCTGTGTGCCTGGGGCAGAGAGGACAAGGAGGAAAGTGGTGGGAGATGAAGCTGGAGAGGTAGACAGTGTTCAGGCTATTCAGAGACATACAGATGATGGTAAGTAATCTGATTGGATCATGTCCCATCCCTTTTAAAAACGTTATACTTTTTACTACCTTTATCCTACAAAGCAGTAGTAAGCGTTAACGTTTTTAATAGGGATGGGAAGTGATCCAATCAGATTGTAAGTATATTGTCAGGGAATTCTTTAAGAGGCAAATTGACCCTCCTGCATTCTGGACAAGTTTCACAATCTCTGCCAAGTCCCCCGTCAGTCCAAGGACAATGCAGTCCTAGCCGGAGGATTGGGTTCTGGTCTGTGAAATGTATTTTAGCATAAAGGGTTTTGAAAGACCAGAAATGACAACTTACACATTTTCTGTCTTCACTCCTCCCCTAAGCTGGAGGTACTGACTAACCTGGCCAATGAGACCAACATCCCTACCGTCCTACGGGAGTTCCAGGTACGTATAGACCAGGGCCAGCCCTGTCCACTTCAGATCCTTGTTCTGGTGAGAATCACCCTGGTCATCAGACCTGTGCTTAAGAGCCCCAAAGTGGAGATCTGCTGTCTCAGGCCACCCTCCCAATGCTGCCTTCTGGGTTTGGGCTGGGGGATCACATATGGGGGCAGGGGGTGGTTTCTACTTCTCATTCAGGCATGATGAATCTTTGAGTGAGGAATCACAACCTGCTGAAAGGTCACCCTCTAGCCTGTGGTGACTCTGGCTACCTGGGGTCACTCTCTGTCACGGTGTCCCACAGACCTACATCCGAAGCATGGACAAAGATTTTGTGGCGGCCACAATCCAGGCCATTGGACGATGTGCAACTAACATAGGCCGAGTCCGTGACACATGTCTCAACGGGCTGGTACAGCTGTTGTCCAACCGTGATGGTTAGTGTTTGTCTGTCTGAGTGTCCAGCCTTGATGATCAGTGGGTGTCTGCCTGCATGTCTGACTCTGATGGCCAATGGGTGCCCACCTATCTGTCTAAGCACAATGTGTGCCACGATTGGTGTCCAGATGTTCCTCCTGCTTTGAGGATCACAAAAGGATTGCAGGGGACTGAGAAGGAGGGCCTGGGGGCATTGTAGGTGTGTCTTTCCCCCCGCCCCCCATATGTGGTCACCTTTTGCACAGGGGTCCATCCACTCATTCACCTTCCACAGAGCTTGTGGTTGCAGAGTCAGTGGTTGTCATAAAGAAGTTGCTGCAGATGCAGCCAGCACAGCATGGGGAGATCATCAAACACTTGGCAAAGCTCACAGACAACATTCAGGTGAGGGACTAGTCCAATGTTCCGCTCCTTACCCCAGCATCATCCTACCCATCCTGTAATTAAATACTCTAGCCTTATCAAAATCCACTTCCATACTGTCTACATTGGTCCTTAAAGGTCTTCAGGTAGAAGGAAGGGACAGGCTAGACCGTGTGACCTTGACCTTGTTGCTGAGAATTCACTTTCCCTTTTGGGATCCTTCACCCAGCTCCACAGCCTTTACCACCTCTCTTGTTTTCACTGTCTCTAAAACTCTGGCCAGGAGTCCTGGTGTGGCGCTGTGGGTTAATGCGCTGGACTGCAAAGTTGGTTTGAACCTCAGGTCAGTGGCTCGAGCTCACCAGCCGCTCCTTGGAAACCCTATACAGGGTCACTAGGAGTTGGAACTGATTCAGTGGCACTTAACAACAACAACAAAGCTGTGGCCAAGGGTGGATGATTAACAATCCTGGGCTTTTTTTGCTGAGGTAAAAACATTCAACCAAAGCATTTCTGAAAATTCAGGAAAAAGAACATGGCAGCAAAGCCATGAAGCTGTAATGAACTGAAAAACTCAGTCTTTTAAACCATGGCCAACATTGGGGCTTGAAGACTCTACTCAGGCTAATGAAACGCTGTGGAAGACGCATTAGTAAGGTGCTGGCCCGGAAATGCCCACCTTTTCATTTCTCTCCTGCTGCCCCCCACTCCAATTTCTAGAGAATCCCACCATACAATAGACCAGCACGGATAGAAGGACCAGTTCCCTGGTGGTCCATACTCCTACTCCTATTCCCAATTTCTCCCAGTCCTCTCACCTCTCATTCCCTACACCCATAGGTGCCCATGGCCCGAGCCAGCATCCTGTGGCTCATTGGCGAGTACTGTGAGCACGTTCCCAGGATTGCACCTGATGTCCTGAGAAAAATGGCCAAGTCCTTCACAGCAGAGGAAGACATTGTCAAACTGCAGGTCATCAACTTGGCAGCCAAGCTCTATCTGACCAACTCTAAGCAGGTGAAGATTGAGAGCTGCCACCCCAAATACTCTGGTCCCTAGAAACTACCTCAGCAGTATTCTCACCAGTCCGGCCTGAACTCGAGCACGTCTTTCTGAAGAGGGTGGTTGGGAGCAAGTGACTGGTCTATGAGTGTCCACAGCTGTTCTGGGGACCCCAGGGCCTGGTAGGGGCTGATTCTCCTCCAGGAGTGCAGTTCTTCTCCCCTTGGGCTGGGGCAGCTGTCCTGGGTCAGCAGGTAGATAACTCCTGGGGAGCTGTGACCTCCATTCTGCCAGTGGGAGTATTCCTTTCCGTCCCTTTTGAAGAGGGACCTCCCCAAGATTGGTGATGTTTAGCCTGTCTGTACCAGTGATAAGGTATGATTCTCTGCTCAAGTTTGGGTGGTGCTGGCGTTCATTGTCAGTCCCAAGGTGAGGTTATGAGCAGTCCCTTAGCCAGAATGTCAACATGTCAGAAGCCTCTTGGTGTACAGGATCCCCTGAGTTACCTCCAAAAGATTCTCCTAAGCACAGAGTGTAATGTGCTGACAAGACTTATACTCACTGTCCTCACTCAGTTCAGTAAGGCAGCCCCCCTAGGTCAGATCTGACCTGCTGCCGCTTTTTGTAACTATGGTCTGCTCACTCATTTATGTTTTGTCTCTGACCGGTCTGATTACAACTGCAGAACTGAACAGTCCAGACAGTCTGGATGGCCACAGAGCCCAAAGTGCTTACTTACTCTCTGGTACTTGGTAGAAAAAGCTGCCAAACCTGAAACAAGTCATCTGAGCAGGTGGATGGGGTCTGTAGCAGGGCTACCCCCTGAGACTGTTACCCATCTGCCAGGGTGCACGCAGTTCTCTTCCTGGGCCAGGTCGGTAGGTAGACAGTGAGGGAAAGGGACAGAGGGCCACTCAGGAGAGTCCAGGGTTCAGCACTTTGCGCTAGTCATTTAATGACGGCTCTCCTCTGTAAAATGGGGGTGGCAGTTCCTACCTCAAAGGACCCCAGGTGGTACAGTGGTTACCTGTTGAGTTTGAACCCATCAACCTCTGCGCTTTGGAAACCCTGTGGGGCAGTTCGACTCTGTCCTTTAAAGTCACAGTGAGTTAGAATGGACTTGGTGACAGTGGATTTGGTTTGGACACACCCCCCTGAAGGACTGTGGGGTTACAAGAGAGTGTAACACACCTAGCACAGTGCTCAGAGCTAGAAGGCACTCGGTTACCAATACTGCTACCTACCATTGTCATTTGCTTAAGGCCTCTCAGGTTAGAATAGGCCAAGCTAAGGGCCAAAATGAGCATTTTGGGTCCTGGGATGTGTCTGCCATGACTAAGGACTGTGAACCCCGTAGGGCCTCAACAGACCCTGTGCAGTTTATGCTGGTCTCATTAGAACCTTCTAGGAGGGAAGGTCAGTGGGCATGAGGGCAGTCTCTGCTAAGGGTGTCCCTGCACTGTCCCCTGGCTCTCTTCTTTGGCACCTAGTTTCCCCTGAGTCTTGTAAACTGTGAGGTCTAGCAGAATGTTCCAGACTTTCACTCACTGACAGTCCAGGAGAGAGAGGCTGGCCCAGCAACGTGGGGTGGGAGCAGAGTCCTGGGCCAAGAGGGCAGCCTCTAATTTTGGTCCAAGGTAGTTGTCTTAGTTGGGGCCCAGGGTCTTGGCCAGAGAGATGAGAGAACTTACAGTGAGTCTGGAGCAATCGCAGGGCCAGGAGGAAAAGTTGGGTAGAGGCAGTCGGTTGCAAGTGAGAGGGGGTGAGAAGCACTGTTTTGGGGTGTTGGCTTAAAGGAGTTCCCCTACCACACCCACTGGAGACTCACCTCTTCTTGTTCCCCTAGACCAAGCTGCTGACCCAGTATGTGCTGAGTCTGGCCAAGTATGACCAGAACTACGATATCCGCGACCGAGCTCGCTTCACCCGGCAGCTCATTGTCCCTTCGGAGCAGGGTGGGGCCCTCAGCCGCCACGCCAAGAAACTCTTCCTGGCACCCAAACCGGCCCCAGTCTTGGAGTCATCTTTCAAAGGTGGGGACTGAAGTTAAGGATAACCTTCCTGTGAGGATCGCAGCCACAGATCCCAGCCTTAACCAGGCCTCAGTCTTCTAGGGAGATGCCGGTCCGCCCCCTGGCCTGTCCTTTCGGCCCCTCCTGCAGTAACCAGGGCTCACTATATATCTACCCACAAGCACACTCACATCATCTCACCTGAGTCTCTGCCTCCTGGCTTCTCTCTTCTCTCCAGCTGCCTCTTTGGTCCCCTAGCGGGTCAGGCACTAACCAGTAAGTGCTGCCATCCAGTCAATGCTGACTCATGGCGACCCCACATGTGCACAGCAGACCTGCGCTCCATTGGGTTTTCAATGACTGATTTTTTTCAGAAGTAGATTACAGGCCTTTCTTTGGTGGCCCCTCTGGGTAAACTCAAACTGTCTCTCTTTCCTTTAGCAGAGAGCCCGTTACCTGTGCACCAGCCAGGGAGTCTAGTCAGACACTAAATCCAAACTCATATATTAAGATTTTAAATACCAAGGATTTAGGAAGGCAGGAAGTGAAACAAAATACAGAGGGGAGATGCATATTTGTAAAAGTCCTGAGAATGCAGTTCCCAACACTCCATGGGATGAGTCTCTGGAGGTCACCCCCCAGCCCAGCCCTCAGTCCTGTCTTGGTTTCCCAGCTTGGCCCTTAAGGCCTTCTCTCCCATATCAAGGGCTCCAAGAGTCCTCAGAGGGCCAGACCCTCTGGCAGGCTCTCTGAACTCCAAGAAACCAAACCCAACACTTACAATGGAGAAACTGCACACAGCTTAGGTCCCCTGGGCATCCTCTTCTTCTTCTTCTTTTTATTTTGTTTTTTCCTTTTCTTTTTCTCTTCCCTGGACCTCAAGAATGGAGAGTTGTAGGGTTTTTTTGTTGTTAGTTCGTTGTTTTTTGAAGTGAACATATACACAACAAAACCTGTGCTACCTCAGCAATTTCTCCATGTATAATTCAGGGACATAGATTGCATTTTTAAAGTTGTGCAACCCTTCTTACCATCAGAAATGAGGAGATTTTTAAGGGATAGGGCAAATTTGGACAATCTCCCACAAAGAAAGTGACAGTCCCTTTTTCCCTCCCCTGACCCGGTCACCCCTCCTGAGTCTCTGTTTTGGGTCGTCTATACCACATGCCTGATCTCTGACCCTGACCCTGATTCTTGCCAGTCCCATTCTGACTGCTCCCCTTTCCAGACGTGCTTCCTCCTCCTTAACTCAACCTGGCCAGCCTTGTAGCTGTTGTAGCTGCCATTCTTGTCTCCATCCCTGGGATTGGCTGTGGGTAGCATGCAAACCCCACTGCCCTGGAAGAGAAGATCACATTCAGAGTCTGCCGCGCCAGCAGGGAGACCCCAAGTAGATGAACCCAAAATTCCCTCTTGCCGGCCTCTCTAGTCCCACTGGTCCCCACTCCTCAGCCCCTGCTGTGGTCAAGCCTGAGAGCTTTTCCTTTTATGGCATATGGGCCTGAAAGTGCAGGCATGGTGGCAGCGCTGCTATGGGACTCCGCCATCTATTCTCTAACCCAGTCTAAGAGTCCAACCAGAACTGCCCCCGGCCACACCTGGGAAACATCTCCCCAGGCACTACTGGTCTGACCTCTAACCCTGCCCCCAGACCGAGATCACTTCCAGCTGGGCTCACTGTCTCACCTGCTCAATGCCAAGGCCACAGGCTACCAGGAGCTCCCAGACTGGCCGGAGGAAGCCCCAGACCCATCCGTGCGCAACGTGGAGGTCAGTGGGGGTGAGGTTGACTTGGATGCTTATGGAGAGGAGTACCTGGTAACAGGGAGCCCTGGGAGTACCACTGCAGCCCTCCTCACATCCCCAGCCCTGCTGACACCCTCCCCACACACAGGAAGAAGACCTCTCTCTTATTGAGACCCACGTGGGCCTGTTGGGCGAATACACTGAGGTCCCCCCTCGTATGCCGTTTGCCCCTCTTCCCCCCCCCTGCCCCCCGTGTGCAGTGCTTATTTCCACCCCTTCCCCTCATGGGCTGCACCCTGGGCCCTCCCCAGTGCTGTTTGCTTCTTGGTTTGGCAGTGTCCCAACTGTAAGAGCCTCTTTCCTCTTCTCCCTTCATTCCCTTTTGGGGCTGAGATCAGGGAGAGCCCCAACAAGAGGTGGGGGAAGGGGAAGAAGGCCCTGCTCTTTCCTTCCCCCTCCCCAGTCAGGGTGAAACAACCCTCTCCCCTGCTCCCAACCTGCAGGTTCCTGAATGGACCAAGTGCTCAAATCGGGACAAGAGGAAGGACAAGGAGAAGCCCTTCTACTCAGACTCTGAGGGGGAGTCAGGGCCCACGGAATCTGCGGACAGTGGTGAGATGGGTAGTGTGGGGCCTCTGTAGCTCTGCTCTGTGTGTGTATGTGTGAGACTGTGTCTGAGATTGTGTCTGTGTCTGAGATTGTGTGAGTGTGTGTGTGTGACTGTGTCTGGGATTGTGTGTGTGTATGTGTGTGTTTATATGGCTGTGTGTCCAAGGGGGTATGCACCGACTTGGCAGTTTATGTGTCTGTGTGTGTGTATGTCCACTGGGAGTGCTTGTGCAGGTCTTGTCAATGTTCCCCAGTGGGTCCAGTTCACATCTAGGGGCAGGGGCAGGTCAGAGGGGTGTGAAGCTTTAGTGCTGAGTCTGAAGCTGGGGACCCAGGGTTCCTTCTCAGGACCCACGGACGCCTGCAGATGAGACAGGGAGGCCTTATCTGCTTCTTCCCCAGACCCTGAGTCTGAGAGTGAATCGGACAGTAAGAGCAGCAGTGAGGGCAGCTCCGGGGAGTCCAGCAGTGAGTCTGGTAATGAAGATGACGATGAAGAGAAAGGGCAAAGCAGTGACACGTAAGACGGGTGCTGGCCAGATGGCCAATGGGGATCCGGGGTATCACTGGAAAAGAAGGGCTGCACCTAGTTTTAGTCAGCGTCCCCAAAGCCCTGAGCCTTGTTGTGAGCTGGTAGGGGTCTTTTAGACCCTCTGGTTACTTCAGTGGTTGGCCCGTCGGCTGGCTGCAGTAGCGCTCTGCAACCAGGCAGGACATCCCCCAGCAACAGAGTGGAGAAGAAAATGAGCACCTGGGATGATGCCTGCTTGTTAAGAGCTGTACTGAGGCTCAGGCATAGCAACCCAGGTATGGGCTCTGCTGGCCCAGGCCCCCACTCCACTTTCCTTTCCAGTGAGCTGGAGTGAGGGCAGGATGTCTAGGCTGGGCTTGAGCCCCACATTCCTTCTCTTCTCTAGTGAGCAGAGTGAGGAGGAAGGTGAGAGGAAGAAGATGAAGAAGAAGAAGAAGAAGAAGAAGGTGCCAGAGGGACACAGAGCAGGCATGTCCTCAGATGAAGGGAGCGATTCCAGCAGCAGCTCTTCAGAATCTGAGGTGACATCGGAGTCTGAGGAGGAGCAAGTGGAATCTGCCTCCTGGAGGAGAAACACGGTGAGAGCTTTGGGGCAGAGAGGGGGTGTGGGAGTGGGCCAGGGTCCTCCCTACCCTCTGGGTAGATCTGAGCTAGACATCTCTCACCATCATCCCTATCAACAGACCACTATACCTCCCACCCAATTCAGAACAGGCCAGGTGCTCCCCTTCCCACACCCCCTCCCCCCCCATCCTACTGTTCTCTTTCAGCCTCCAAGCAGCAAAAGTACCCCTGCAGTGAAGGAGATCTCTCTGCTTGATCTAGAGGACTGTGAGTCTGGGTAGTAGACTGGGCGAGGGAAAGAGACCTGGGGAGAGTGACTGAGGCGGGTCCATGGGGGATCTAGATTAGGTTCCTCCGGTCCTGCGGGGAGCAGACAGAACACCTCTTGCGGTCTTGAGAGGACAACAGGATGACCTCACAGTCTGAGATTGAGGGGCAGTGTGTGTATTCACTGGGAGCCAACAGGCTGCTGCGCTGTCCATGGTGCTGAACTGTGCTGATTGTGCTCTGGGTTACCTTGTTCAACTCAAGCCAACTCCACTTGGCCTATTCCTCATTTTACCACCAGTGGCTGTTGAGTAGACTCTGACTCGTGGTGACGCCATGTGCGTCAAACGTGAACTGTGCTCCTTGGGGAAATCAACAATCAACACTGGTTGATTTTTATGAAGTAGATTACCAGGCCTTTCTCTTGCAGCATCTCTGGGTTGACTTGAACCTCCAAACTTTGGGTCCACAGCTGAGCTCCTTAACTGTTTGTACTACCCACAGATTCATTCCTCATTCTAATTTTCCTCATCTCCTCCCAGTCACCCCTCCCAGTGTGCAGCCTGTGTCTCCCCCCACGATTGTGTCCACCAGTCTGGCCACTGACCTTGAGGGCCTGACTCTCACAGATCCCTCCCTGGTGCCCTCGGTGAGTGGAATTGGGAAGGGACTGGACTGGGTCTGGGACATATATCTGTGCTATAACCTAGGGCTAGGGTCATAGGGGATGGGCTGTGTTGGAAAGGATCGCTTTGAGATCCAGTTGCTGGGTGACCCTAGGTGAGGACAGGGCTGGAACAGGCTTTCTCTTTGCCCATTTCCACACTTCTTTCCCTCTCCCCCCCACCCCAGTTGTTGAGTCCAGTGTCAGGTGTTGGGAGGCAGGAACTGCTGCACCGGGTAGCTGGAGAGGGGCTGGCTGTGGACTATGCCTTCAGCCGCCAGCCCTTCACTGGGGATCCCCACATGGTGTCTGTGCACATCCACTTCTCCAACAACTCTGAAAACCCCATCAAAGGTCTACGCATGGGTGCCCCCAAACTGCCTGCCGGCATCAGCATCCAGGAATTTCCTGAAATCGGTGCGAAAGGGCCTGGATGGGGTGGAAGAAGAGGCTTCTGCATGGGCTTAGCCTTTCTGTGGGTGTTGATGGCCTCTCTATGCCAGGCCAGGGGCCAGGGGCCAGACTGTGTGTATGTGGGAACAGAGATGGTATCTGACATGATCCATGCCCTGCTAGACAAGATAGACTAGGAAATAAGCTATTTCATATCAGGGCAGAAGGTGCTTAGACAGAAGGTGTGGGCTTTCATTATTTCAGGATTGACTTGAGTCGGAAGGGATCGGGTGAGAGGAGGGTGTTTATATTTCAGGAAGAATCAGCTAAGTTAGTCTCCAGGGATCAGGAAGCCAGAGCTCCATAGAGAGGTGGTTGGCTCTAGCAATGGCTGGGAGAATGGGGCTAGAGTAGGTTCAAAACTTATCTCGTGGTGGTGTCTCCCCACTGAAATAAAGTCTATGGTCCCTGGACTGCCTCCCACCACTACAGAGTCCCTGGCACCTGGAGAATCCATCACTGCTATAATGGGCATTAATTTCTGTGACTCAACCCAGGCAGCCAACTTCCAGCTATGGTATGTATCCAGCTCATGGTGGGAGTGGGAGGACGGACTGGGAGAGGCAGGGTTGAAATGATCCAGACCTGGGGGTGGTGATAGGTGGCGGTTACAACATGATCTTATGGACCTGGAAGTCCCCTGACTTTCCTTTACTCTCCTCCTACGACTACCTAAAGTAGGAGGTATAAGGAGAGATGCTGGCCTCACGTCCTCTCCCTGTTTCCTTCCACCCTTCCCAGCACCCAAACCCGACAGTTCTACGTCTCCATTCAGCCACCTGTGGGGGAGCTGATGGCGCCTGTGTTCATGAGTGAGAATGAGTTCAAGAAGGAGCAGGGTGAGTGTTCCTAGAGCTGGACAGGAAGGGGGCTCAGCTCCACCCACATATATTCACTAAGTGCCACTGCACAGTCATGCTGGGGGCACATCAGCCCTTCCAGACAGAGGGATTCCTGTGGTCGTGACCCCAGCAAAGGCTTCACAGAGGCTGAGACACTTCAGTAAAGCTTTGGAGAGAGTTGAGACTCAGCCAGGAAGGAAAGACTAGGGCACCACTCCAGCTTGAGGATCAGCACAAGCAATGACATGGTGGTGTTGGTGGAAAGTTTACAGGGAAAGAGCAAGGGCAGCAGTTTGGTTTGGGGCACAGCAGACCCCTAGCACAGGGAAATAGGAAAAGCTGAAAAAAACATATGTTTGGTCTAGTTTCTGGAAGGTTTGAATGCCATGCTAAAGACTTCCTGTCTTAGTATTTCAGAGTTTTTATGACCCTTTGGTCAAAAAAGTTTTTAAGTCCAACCCTCTAATAGAGATTAAGAAGCTAAGGCCCAAAGAGAAAAGGTGGCTGCTGGCTTCATTTTCCTGACAGAGGAGGAGTCACTGGGGATTTTGAGTGAGGGCAGCGAGGCAGGCTCAGATTTCTGTTTCAGAAAGATGACTCTCAGAAAACTGGAAAAGGAAAAGCCTGCAGCAAGAAAAAGTGGCAACCCAGCAAACATGGGCGAAACATTGGGCTTCATGAGTCCGGACTAAGCTTTAAACCTTCTGCGCACTTGGAGTATGACCTTAGACTAAACTTCTGCCATTCACTTAGTGTCTTCGTTACGTGGTGGTGATGGTGGTTATGTGCCGTGGAGTCAGTTCTGACTCATAGTGACCCTGCATAAAGTTTCCAAGACTGTAAATCTTTATGGGAACAGAAAGCCTCATCTTTCCCGTACAGAACAGCTGGTAGTTTCGAACTACTGACTTTGAGATTAAGCAGTTTCGACTCGTAACCACTACAGTGGGTAGCTTTAAAGTACAGAAACTTATTTTCTCATAGTTCTGGAGACTAAAAATCCCGATCTTGGCAGGGTCAGCTCTTTCTTTTGTCAGTAGCCCTAGGCATTCCCTGATCCCTTACCATTCCTTGGCTTATAGATGATCCTCACATGGCATTTGTCTACCCTATGTGTGTGTCTAGTCTAGTGTTTTTATAACTCAGAAGTGATTAGGGTTAGGACCCACTCCACACTGGTAGGATTTCAGTAGCATAAAAGAGAATCCAAACAGACAAATCCACAGGCACAAAGAGCAGGAATTTAGTACATGGGTTGTTTTTTGGGGGAGGAGGCACAATTCAGTCTATAACACTGAGTTATGGATTGCAGTAGATTTATGAGATGGTAAAGAGTTTGATTAGAGTCATGGGAAAGGGAATGAGGTGCTATTGGCAAGAGGTAAGCCATGGGAAATTGCCCTAAGAGGAAGAGAGAGGGCTGTGTAAACTGACTGTAGAATTTCTGACTTAGATGGTAGAGAATGGCAGTGCATTTCACCAAGCAAACAGGTCAGCAAATTTTTTTCTGTAATGGGCCATAAAGTCAATATTCTGGGCTTTAAGGTCCCTACAGTCTCTATCACAACTAAACTGTTAGAACCCAAAAGCAACCATAGATAATATGTAACTGAATGAGTGTGGTTGTGTTCCAATAAAACTTTATTATGGACACTGGAATCTAAATCTCATATAATGTTTCTATGCCATGAAATATTAGTATTTTGATTTTTCTCAACCTTTCAAAAATGCAAAAACCCTACAGGTAGTGGGCTAGATTTGACCTGTGGGCTATAATTTGCCAATCCCTGACCTAGAAGAAAGAAGAACAGTTGCTCAAGGGACAATGGAAGATCATGATTAGTTTGGGGTCACCTGATTTTGAAATACAGTTGGGAAATTGAGGAGGAAGTGTCTAGTTTCTGATTGGAAATGTGAGTCTGCATCCCAGCAACACTCTCTGGACTGGAGTCATGAGTGTAGAGGTGCTAACTGAAGCTGTGAATGTGAATGAGATCACTCCAGGAGAGGGAGGGGGAAGATAAGAGGCGAAGCACAGAACCTTAAGGAAACCCTGCCTTCCCAGGAGAAAATGCATGGGCAGGGGGAAAGGAGGAGCAGAGAGCGAGGTCAGAGGAGAACCAAGAGGGGTGACAAGGCAGGGGAGTGTCTCGAAGTTGTCTGAAGACCAGGACTAACAGAGACCTTTATGGTCCATCATATAGGAGGTCACTGCCAACATCAGGGAGAGTCTCTACTCATTGCCAAAGGGGGACCAGAAGCCAACTGCAGTGGGCTGAGGGAGGAACTAGAGGACTCTTTGGAGGACTTTGACTGTGAACCAGGAGACACAAGATCCTGGCATGATAAAGGATCTCACTTCTGAAGAGGAACTTTTCAGAACTGGAAATACTTGAACACAGACTAAAGGTATAGGAGCAGGAAAATGTCACACATCAGAGATGCAGGGAATGGAAAATATAGGAGAGGAATGTCTGTTCTCAAAGGAGGGACAGAATGGGGCAAGCAACAGGTGGAGGAGATACTGAGGAGAAGGCTATGGGTGGGTGAGAAGGTGGACAAAGAACTCAGCTGGAAGAGGGGAAATCAATCCTGTAGAACAGGGTGGGGAACCTTTTTTCTACCAAAATATACCATCGTTCACAGGCCATACAAAATTATCAACTTAAAAATTAGCCTGCTATATTTGGTCAAACATTTAATTAACTCACCCCTAAAGGAGCTTTGGTAGCGTAGTGGTTACGAATCGGGCTGCAAACCACAAGGTCAGCAGTTCGAAACTACCAGTGGTTCTGCGGAAGAAAGATGAGGCTATGTGCTCCCATAAAGATTTACAGCCTTGGAAACCCTGTACAGGGTTGCTATGGGTCGGAACCGACTCGACGGCACTTAACAACAGCAACGTTTTTGATGGAGCTCTGGTAGCGTAGTGGTTACGAGTCGGGCTGCGAGCCTTAGTGTCAGCAATTCAAAACTACCAGCTGTTCCACGGGAGAAAGAAGAGGCTTTCTGCTCCCATAAAGATTTATAGCCTCGGAAACCCTGTACAATGTTGCTATGAGTTGGAACCAGCACATAACAACAAAAACAACAATGTGATGGAGTCCTGGTGTGGCGCTGTGGGTTAATGCGCCAGACTGCAAAGCCGTTTGAACTGCAAGGTTGGCGGTTCAAGCTCACCAGCTGCTCCTCGGAAACCCTATACAAGGTTGCTATGGGTCAGAATCAACTCGATGGCACTTAACAACAATGACAATATGATGGCTGGAACTGTAGTTGCCTTGGCAGATGATTTTCACAGGCCTTATATGGCGCCCACCCCTGCTGTAGAATGAGGGTGCTAGGGTTGTCATGTAGGCCTGGGGCTTAAGGAAATGCTACTGGGAAGCCTTCAAGGGCTTCAAGGAGCTTCTGGACTCTGGCCTGTTGACCCAAGTCCCAGAGCCGTGGGCGGGAACCTAGCAGCCACCAGTGATCTCTTTGTGGGGGCTCTCAATATTTGTGAGTTGCAAGTATGGGTGTCAAAAACAGGAAGACCACTGGTGTGGAGTTCAGAGGGTGAGAAACCTCTAAGAACTGACCAGTCAGTGGGAAAGCCCCACTTTGGGGTTTTGGTCAACTTGGACAGAGCCCAGGGTGGGATGGCATGGGGTGGATAGGCTGACAAAAGTGTCCTATGGACCAGGTTTGAGAGGGAAGTTCTCCATCTCCAAAACTGATGTGGCAGAGCCCAGGGTGAGGGGAATGTGAGTAATGTGAGCAGACTCAGGGGCTAGCCTCAGGCCCCACCATGGCCTCTGCCCTCATCCTGCTATTTGTTCCCAGGGAAGCTGACAGGCATGAATGAGATCACAGAGAAACTCATGCTGCCGGACACCTGCCGGACTGACCACATTATAGTGCAAAGAGTGACTGCCACTGCCAACCTGGGTCGTGTCCCTTGTGGCACATCTGATGAGTACAGGTACTAGGCCACAGTAGAGGGGAAGAGATGGGTCCTTGGGAGGGGCTGGTTTAAAGGAGGGGTCCCATACCCCAGGGCTAAACTCCTTCTTCTACCCCTACCTCAGGTTTGCAGGGAGGACACTGACCAGCGGGAGCCTAGTGTTGCTGACCTTGGATGCCCAGGCAGCTGGAGCTGCCCAGCTGACTGTCAACAGTGAGAAGATGGTGATTGGCACCATGTTAGTGAAGGATGTGATACAGGCCCTGAGACAGTGACTCCAAAACATGGCTCTTCTTTGGCCCCTACCTGTCTCTCCCCCATGACATCTAGGCATCTAGATTGTCAACTCCTGTCTCTCTCTCACTTCCCTCATCTTGCCAGATAGTGTCTGGGTCTGGAGGGGGGATCTCTCCTTCTGGTCCGTACCAGGCTGCACCCCCTCCCCCTCTCATGGATTCCTTAATGGCCTGGGCCGAGGGAGACAGCAGCTCTCTCTCAGTCCTCTTAGCTTTCCGTAGCTATTTCTGTAACGAGTCTCAATAAAATGTCTTCCCCTTAGACACTGGCTCCCCCTTCCTTCCTCTGGAGTCTGTCTAAAGTGGTTGAGGGTTGTGGAGATGTGCCCCAAGTGCCTGTGGCTGACCCGTTATTTACCTTCCAGGGGAAGCTGGGACAGACTCTCAGGGGTGACTCTGTTTGGATCTCTGAGGTGACCTTCTCCTAGTCTCCAAGCATCTCTGTAGAAGACACGTCTGAGCAGGGATATGGGGCCAAGCCAGGAGGACTCCCTGTTACTATTTATGAGCTTCTGCAAAACTGAGGCCCCTTGGATGGCTGGTGGTCCCTGTTGATTCCCGTCATGGGTTTCAGAAATAGATTCCTAATGTGAGGAAATTCCTAAATATAGGTGCAGGATTCTCAGACATAGGAATGTTCTACATCTAGGTGGGGGCCTACAGGCCCTACCTGTCTTGGGAGATGACCTAGCCAAGCAGGCTCAGTGGGGAAAGGATAGAAGATACAGAACATTGCTTCTCAAACTGCTGTGCATCACACCCTCTGGTATCTCATTAACACACAGGTTCTGGGGAGGGGCCTGAGCCTTGTTTTCAAGAGCTGGCTCCATGCACACCCTTAAGTAAGAGGATACACAGCCTCCACGTCCGGGACAAGCCTTTTGGTGACTGCAATGAAGACCAGGGCCTTCCCTGGGACCTTTCTTGATGAGGAAAGTGGCTGAGTGACCAGTGGTTCCAAAGGTGTGCCACTAGCATATGTTCTGTCAAAAAAAGTATGATCCAATGCATTTAGGAATCACAGACTTAAAATAAGTTGGCGCTTCCTGATTGGTGAAAGACATCAGTACCTAAGGGAAGGTAGTGCATCCCTTTTGGGGACATGAAAGCATTGAGAACCCTCCCAGCCCTTGCCTTCTGTGTTTCTGCTTTGTGTTGATCCTGATTTGCATCCTTTATAATAAAACTGTAATCATGTACTTTAGGAAATCTTCCAGGGCAAGGTGAATTCTGTATTCCAAAGGACTCAGAATAAAACTTCAAGCTGTAAACTTCCTTGACAACACTCAAGATTACTCAAAAGCCAAACCCACTGCCATGGAGTCAATTCTGACCCATCGGGACCCGACAGTACAGAGTAGAATGATCCCTATAGCACTAAGCGGAAACGGCTCCTAAAGGTTTCCAAGACCGAAAAGCTTTATGGGAGAAGATAGCTTTATCTTTTGGTGGGTTTGAACTGCTGACCTTGTAGTTAGCAGCCGAATGCTTAGCAGCACTGAGCCACCAGGGCTCTGTAACACTCAAAATCCTTTATATTTATCATTCCGTTCAGCAGATAACACAAATTCCAGAAAACAAAACCAAACAAATAAAACCAAGAGAAAATTTCCTTCCAGATGACACTTAGATTAAGGAAGCCGTAAGGACACTGCGGTTTCTTCAGTGATCATCATACAAATGAAATTCCTCAGGTTAGATCTTGGTAACTGATCAATCTGACATGACTTGTGCTCAACAATAGTTGGAAGATAACTCTTTTTATCTTTAGTAAGAAATGTTCTTTCAAAAATCAAATCCTATTTGGCAGGAGGAGCAAGTCAATATTTTCCCCTTACAGGCCTTCTCAGAGCCTTTACTACACAAATGTGCATTTTTGACATTCCTCCACCCCCACCTCCCAAGAGGGACTAGAGGTCACAGTGTTACCCAAACTTGGTTTTGACCTTAGCATGATTTTCCCACAGAACATTTCGATTGACTGGAACACACTCCAGTGATACTCTGAGATATGAGTGCATTAGCCTATTAGACTCCATGGTCATATTCCCCACAGCCCTGTCACTTCAGTACCCCTGATCAAGTCTCTTCGGGGTAAGACTGGTGCCGCAGGGTGTGGCACTGCACCTCTCAGAGAAGAGAACAAAGGCAGTGCCAGGGGACACCCTGCCTCTGGCTCCAGGGACTTGTTGGGCTTGGTAGCACCAGAGAGCATCTGGCCTGCTGCTTCTCTGAGAACCTTGTGGCCCCAGAGTCTCCCAGGGATCATTGTTTTCACTGCAGGTTCTGAGATGGCACAGAGTCACCCAATCAGTGATCTCTTGAATGAGAGCTTCCTTCTGGCTTTTGCATCTGAATCAGCTCTGCCTACAACCTACAGCAGTAAGAATGGGGGGAGGGGCGCTGTTTTCCAAGAGCTTGAAATAAAGGCCACCTGAGAATTCCACAGCCGCCTTTATTCTGCAAGAGTGGCGTCTATAGGAACGGCAGTGCATAAGGCAGGTCCCCTTACATTCCTCAAGGAACTCACTTCAACCTTGAGATTCCACAGAACTGGAACCTGGGTCACACATTCTCTGGAATGTGTCCCAGGCTGTGGGATGAGCAATAACAACCCCCTAAGAAAGTGGTTCTTGTGCTTATCTAGTGGGAGAGGCAGGAGTGTGAGAGGTAAGCAGGGGAGACTGCCTGACTCTAGCTAGAGGAGGAGGAGGAACCCAGGGTGGGGGGTGACTTCTGGCAGAGGGATAGCAATCTCTGATCCAGCAAAAGAAGGGGCTGATTCTGTTCTGAGTAAAGTTTCTTTTAACACAGGCCGCAGGAACTGAGGAGAGTGGCTGTCCCAGTCCTCTGCCAGGCAGAGCTTTTCTTTTCTAAGAATCTGCCCAGGACCCTACTTTCTCACAGCAGCCACATCAGCATTCCAAAACGAGTCTCCTCATGGCAGGGCAGGGTCCACCCAACACACACTGGTGACCAACCAGACCTGCAAGATCTGAAGGGTGCCGCTGCCTCTCTAGGAACCAGCTTATCCTTGTGTATTGTTACTTACCCTGGGTCTTTGCTACTGTGATAATACTATGTCCCCAGGGTCTCAGGGGCCTGAATCTTGGTTGGGAGAGTGTCTGGGAGGGTGGTAGGTGCCTGGATCTTAGCTGGGAGGAAGAGATGCTGCTGTAAGCTGCACTGCTGGCAGCCAGGGAGCTGGCACGGCATTGTGGAATCAAGTGGAGTCCTGGACCCTGGCAGGCGGCACAGGCTAGGGCCTACTTAGGGCCCTGCTGGTGCACAGGATGAGCGGAAGTAAATAAATGCACAAAGTTGGCACAGGTGTCCCTAGCAAGGGTATGAGAGTGCTGTTTTTCCCTCTGACTACTGGGATTCTCCATCCTTATTATAGTTTTTGTTGTTGAGTTCTGTGGAGTTGGTTCTGACTCTTAGTGACCCTGTATAGGGTTTCTGAGGCTTTAAATCAGAGGTGAGGAATGTCCGGCCATATTGTTGTTGTTATGTGCCATCGAGTCGGTTCCGACCCATAGCGACCCTGTATAGGGTTTCCGAGGGTGTAAATCTTTACGGGAGTAGAAAGCCTCATCTTTCTCCCGCGGAGCAGCTGGTAGTTTCGAACCGCTGACCTTAAGGTTCGCAGCCCGATTCGTAACCACTACACTACCAGAGCTCCTTTAGCCCAAGAAATCATTTGGTTTGGCCCTGCCAAGGTAACCGCAATTCCAGTTATTACATTGTTGTTGTTGTCAAGTGTGATCAAATCCATTCCGACTCATAGCAACTCTTAAAGGGTTTCCGAGGAGTGGCTGGTGAGTTTGAACTAACAATCTTGCAATTCTAAAAACCTTGCTGTCCAGTGCTTATCTTAAAGTGACATACAAGGACTCCTCAACTGTTGTTTTGTTGTTAAGTGCTGTAGAGTCAGTTCCAACCCAGAGCAACTCTGTGTAGGGTTTCCAAGGAGTAGCTGATGAGCTTGACCCGCCGAACTTGTGGTTCAAACAGACTCTGCAGTCCAGCTCATTAACCCACAGTGCTACACCAAACTCCTCAACCTAACTAGACATTGCCAAATTGCTTGCCCAAGTGGCTGTACTTCACATAAACAATGTTCACAGCACCTTCATTCATAATAGACCCCAAGCTGGAAACCATTTGAAATCCAATAAACAGGAGACTAGATGAACAAATTATGATATATCCATACAACGGAATACTAGTTAGCAATTAAAAAGGGACAACCTATTGAAGCACACAATGTGGATGAATCTCACAGATACTATGGTGAGTGAAAAAAGCCCAGACACATAACTCTTTGAAGTTCTAGAACAGGTATGTCTTCATGAAGAGGGAGGGTAGGTATGTTGGTGGTCACGTGCCAGTGAGTCAGTTCCGACACACAGTGACCCTGTAGAGGGTTTCTAAAGGCTGTAATTCTTTGTTGTTGTTAGGTGCCATCGAGTTGGTACTGACTCAAAGCGACCTTATGCACAGCAGAACCAAAACAAACGCTGCCTGATCCTGGGCCAACCTCACAGTTGTTGCCACGCTTGAGTTCATCGATGCTGCCACTTGGCCAATCCATCTTGTTGGGGTCTTCCTCTTTTTCTCTGACCCTCCACCTTACCAAACATGATATCCTTCTCCAGCGACTGGTCCCTCCTGATACTATGTCCAAAGTGTGAGAGACAAAGTTTGGCCATCTTGGCCTTCAAGGAGCACTCTGGCTGCACTTCTTTACAGGAGCAGAAAACCTTGTTTTTCTCCTGCAAAGTGACTGATAGATTCAAACTGCTGACCTTGCGGTTACCAGCCCAACTCACAATCCACTGCGCCACCATGGTTCCTTGGAGGGTATGTATATAGATCAAAAAACGTATCAAGCTGTACACTTAAAAGATTAATACACTCTAGGCATTTCGTTATGCATTTTAGCCCTTAAAACAACAACAACAACAACAAGATTAAAT